TCTATTCTTCCCCCGACTCAACCTTCCTGCTCCCCCATTTCCTCCTCTCGCCTCCTCTTCTCCCCCTCTCATTTTCCCAGCTCCCTCTCCCCTACCCTCATGCTCCAAATTAGCTCAGGAGATACTGTCCCCTTCCCCTGCTCTGGGGTCCATGCATTCCTCTCTTAGAGTCCTTCGTGTTTCCTAGTTCCTTTGTTGATGAGGATTGTAGGCTGGTAATTCTTTGTTCTATGTCTAAAATTCATATATGAGTGAGTACATACTATGTCTTTTTGTGACTGGGTTACCTCACTCAGGATGGTTTCTTCTAGTTCCATCCATTTCAAGATTCCATTGTTTGTTTTTTCTGCTGAGTAGTACTCCATTGTGTAAATGTACCACATTTTCTCTATCCATTCTTCAGTTGAGGGCATCTAGTTTGCTTTCAGGTTCTGGCTATTACAAACAATGCTGCTATGAACATAGTTGAACATATTCCTTGTTGTATGAATGTACATTCTTTGGGTATATGCCCGAGAGAGGAATTGCTGGATCTTGAGGTAGACTGATTCCCATTTTCCTGAGAAACTGCCATACTGATTTCCAAACTGGTCGTACAAGTTTGCACTCTCACCAGCAATGGAGGAGTGTTCACTTACTCCTCATTCTCTCACTAGGTAGATCAGACTGGCTTCAAACTCTGAGAGAAAAGTGTTTGGGCTGGGCGTTGGTGGTGCACGCCTTGAATCCCAGCACTTGGGAGACAGAGGCAAGTGGATCTCTGTGATTTTGAGGCCAGCCTGGTCTCCAGAGTGACTGCCAGGATAGGCTCCAAAGCTACACAGAGAAACCCTGTCTCGAAAAAAACAAAACAAAACAAAAAAGTAAAAAGTGTTTGACCCTCAACTGTATACCTCAGTGTAATAGGGAAAAAAGAACCTAATAAATATACTTGATGTTTGATTGTTTTGAAATAGGGTCTCATTCTGTAGCCCAGGTTCGCCTAGAAATCTCAGGGAATTGCTGTACCTGACTACATTTGACCTTTTAAGAAAGAAAAGCCATGGGAGCTGGAGAGATGGCTCAGAGGTTAAGAACACTGGCTGTTCTTCCTGAGGTCCTGAGTCCAATTCCTGGCAACCACATTTGTCTCACATCCACCTTGAATGAGGTCTGGTGCCCTCTACTGGCCTACAGAGCACATGCAGACAGAAGACTGTATACAGAATAAATAAAATCTTAAAAATAAAAAAAAAAGGAAAGCTAGACAGATCAGTATTTATCTTCAAGAAAAAGAATAGGGAAACTGTCCTAGAATGGAAAGTGAGTCCAGGACTTCCCTCTTTCCCAAGGACTTGTAAGACCCTCACTACAGGATACCACCGCCCACAAGAGAAACTCTGGCCCAAAACAGATTCCCTAGTCAACTTGATATTTCTGCTGACTTACTTCCTTTGTAGGTTTTCATCCATCTCTACAGTCCAGGCCACAGTTTTGATTTCCTAAGCATAGAGTTGGTCATCTGCTGTCCTGAAGCTAACTCTTCAAAGACTGTTCTTTGCTACAAGGACGAAGTTTTACACTCAAGAAGCCTACAGGGCAGGCCTAGCTAGCAAAATTAGGATCCTAACTGCTTTCAACCCCCTGACACACACACACACACACACACACACACACACACACACACACACACACACAGGGTTTTTCTGTGTATTAACCCTGGCTGTCCTGGAACTAGCTCAGTAGACCAGGCTGGCCTGGAACTTACAGAGATCCAACTGCTTCTGCCTCCCAAGTGCTAGTATTAAAGGTGTGCGCCACCTCCTGGCTTACCTTTCCAACTTTTTTCTCACCCTCTTCTCCATTGGGTCAGTGTTCCAGCCATGCTAAACTTAGTCCTCATCTGTCCTGTTGTTTTCTTTCCCTTATTTTTCTCCATCTTGTCCTCTCTGTTTGACACTGTCTTCTCCATTCTCACAGTGTCAGCAGCCTCAGCCAGGACAGCCATCTTAAAGCTGGGGCATCCCATCACCTGCTGCTGACATTGGTCCTATGGAGCCCACAACATAAAACTTTGTCATATACCCATTTTATGTCTTTTTTTCTTCACCTGATTTTGCCCCTGGGGTGTGAAATTTAATTGTGTTCTAATCTGTCAGCCCAACCAGAGCACCTTCAATAAACAGAGGAAAAGAGGTGTCTGACATAGTTTTCCTACCTGTTTGACTTTGAATGTAATGATGAGCTGTTCTTTTCTACAGGCAGACAAGTTGTTACGAACCTTGAAAGCCCACCTGAATGCAGAAACAAGGAAAGAGAATCTAAATCAGGTGAGTGATGTTCTTTGCCAATTATTAGCTGGTAAAATATTGTTAGTTAATGAGCAATTAATACTTATTAGTGATGATTTAAGATGCAGTAGCCGGTGTAAAGGCACATACTTATAAACCTACTATTTGGAGGTGGAGCTGGCACAGACTACTAGAGTACTAGGTCAGACACTGACCCCAGCTCAAAGAAAACAAAAACAAAGAAAAAGATGTGATGTTTATTATTATATGTACCACCATGCCCAATTTTGAATTTTTTATTTTATTTTTTTTGGTTTTTCCAGACAGGGTTTCTCATGGCTTTGGAGGCTGTCCTGGAACTAGCTCTTCTAGACCAGTTAGTTACAGGGAGTTGGATACCCTGTAACTGGAGTCATAGATGGTTATAAGCTGCCATGTAGGGGTTGGAAATTGAACACTGGTCTACTGAAAGAACAACAACCCATTTCTCCAGGCCCATTTATTTGTTTGTTTGTTTATAGGCAAGGTCTTCCAATGTAGCCCAGACTGGCCTCAAATTTGAGACTCTGTCTTACCCAAGTATCTAGGATTATAGGTCACCAAACATTTGTGGAAAAGCTACAGCCCAAAAAATACTAAGATAAGTAGAAGAAAAATACCTGAATGATGGAGCTGGAGCCTGGTAGTGGTGGTGGCACATGCTTTTAATACCTGGATTTGGGAAGCAAAGGCAGGTGGATCTCTGTGAGTCTGATGCCATCCTGGTCTACAGAGTGAGTTCCAGGATAGCCAAGGTTACACAGAGAAACCCTGTCTTGAAAAAAAAGAAAGAAAAAAGAAGGAAGAATGGAGCTGGTAGAAAAAAAAACAAAACATATTTTATGATGGGCAGTGGTGACTCATGCCTTTAATCCCAGTACTTGGGTGGCAGAGGCAGACAGATCGCTGTGAGTTCCAGGACAGCCATGACCACACAGAGAAACCCTGTCTCAAAAAAACAAAACAAAAAAACATACTTAATAATAACTTATTGAGTAAACCATCAATAGAATCAAGATAAGAGGGCAAAACAGAGATGATTCAATTAAGGCTATAATAACAGAACATAGACAGTGACCAGTAGAGAGACCCAGAGAATAGAAAGCTGGGTGTGGCCTTTAATCCCAGCACTCGGGAGGCAGATCGGGTGGATCTCTGTGAGTCTGAGGCCAGCCTGGTCTACAGAGCGAGCTCCAGGACAGGCCCCAAAGCTACAGCCCCCCCCCCCCCCCCCCCGCCAGCCATAAACTGAATTTTAACATAAAAGCCCTAAAATTATGAATGAGTATGCCAGGATTCCCTAGAGACCAATGAAGAACCTACTGAACTTAAGCAGTTAAGAATAAGCAAGGGTGAGAGAAACAATTGCTTTTCATAGTTGTTTTTGTATGTGACACCTGCTCTATCTCCAAGGTGCTGAGGGCCAAACTCTGGGCCATGTACATATTAGGCAAGTGTTTTACCACTGAACTACATAATTTCCAAATCTTGTAGTTAGTATTTTAAGCTATATTTGCTGGGCATAGTCATATATAAGTTTATCTAAAAAAAGAAATCAGACCCAAGTGGTGGGACCATAGCCGTAACCTAGCACTCAGGAGGCTGAGACAGGAGGATCAAAGGTCAAATTCAGCCAGGGTAACTTAATGACACCCTGTCTCAAAACAAGAAGTAAAAAAAAAGGGCTGGATAAGTTCACTCCTAGTGTAATTGCCTAGCATATGGAGTACCCAGATTTGCTCCCTAGTACTGAAAAATAGCTATAATCCATCCAGATTCTTTGTGGTATGGGAGAACAACCAATTTTTTCTTCTTCTCACACAAATATAAGAAATATAGCTAATAGCCGGGCGGTGATGGCTCATGCCTTTAATCCCAGCACTCAGGAGGCAGAGGCAGTCGGATCTCTGTGAGTTCAAGACCAGCCTGGTCTACAAGAGCTAGTTCCAGGACAGCCTCCAAAGCCACAGAGAAACCTTGTCTCGAAAAACTCTTTGTTTTGTTTGTTTGTTTGTTTTGGAACAGAGTTTCTCTGTGCAGCCTTGGTTGTCCTGGAACTCACTATGTAGATCAGGCTGGCCTCAAACTCACAGAGATTCACTTGCCTCTGCCTCCCAAGTGCTGGGATTAAAGGCATGTACCACCACCGTCCAGCTAACAATGATTTCCTATATAAGCAGGTCTGTTTTGGATGTTTTGCTTTCTGACCATACTGTATTCATGTAGTAACTTTTTACTCTTTTAGTTTATGAAAATGCAAGTGCTATTTCCTAATTTTTTTTAAAAGATTTTATTTATTATGTACACCGTCTTCTGCCTGCATGCCAGCAGAGGGCACCAGATCTCATTACAGATGGTTGTGAGCCACCATGTGGTTGCTGGGAATTGAACTCAGGACCTCTGGGAGAACAGTCAGTGCTCTTAACCTCTGAGCCATCTCTCTGGCCCTCTTTCCTTATTTTTATCTGTGACAAGTTTCTTTGGCTTAGTATGCAATTGCTAGTGTCCATGCATACAGGACCTGGCTTATACTGTCTCCTTCTTTTCCAGGATGAGAATCAGTCTTCTGCATCCTCCTGTGATGAGACTGAGATACTCATTAACCGTAAGGAGCAAGCTGGGAGGGAACCTGCTGCTCATGCCACCAAAACAAGAAGGAAGCGCAAGACAGTCCATGGAATTCCTGACTTCCAGGTGAATGGAACTGTACAAACTGGAGAGAAGCCACAATAACTACCATAACCTACTATAGCTGGCATATTTTTAGTGAGCTTCCATTTTACCTTCTCTTATGAGCCTGATGGTTGGAAATATACTACCCGCTGCAAGCTCCTCAAAAGTACAGACCTGTGTCTACTGTACTCCCCACCACACCCTGTCCCTAGCACTTGGGAAGAAGTTACAAGTATTAAATACAAATTAAATTACAAGTGTTAAATACAAATTAAATACCCATTAAAAAGCCCATGGCTCAGGGGTTAAGAGTGCTTGCTGCAGCTGGGTGTTGGTGGCGCACGCCTTTAATCCCAGCACTCGGGAGGCAGAGGCAGATGGATCTCTGTGAATTTGAGACCAGCCTGGTCTACAAGAGCTAGTTCCAGGACAGCCTACAAAGCCACAAAGAAACTCTGACTCGAAAAACAAAAAACAAAAAAGAGTACTTGCTGCTCTGGAGTTTAGATCCTAGTACCAATGTGAAAGCCAGATGTGGTCTCATGCACACATCTAACTCTAGCTCTGAGGGTGGTGGAAACAGCATCTCTAGGGCTTGTTGGCTGCCTGTCTAATCTAAAAACAAGATCTGCAAGTTCAGTTAGAGATCCTGCTTCAAAGGAACAAAGAGATAATAGAGAGCACCCCACACACACCACACACATACACAATGCCCTCCTCTGGCATTTATACATCCATAGTATGCATACCCACACATAAATACGTCCACATGCAATTCATATAAAAAATGATTGAATAAATGTGAATGTCCACATATTGTTCACATAGGTAGTCTGCAATGAATATGAAAGAATAACCAACCTGAAGTGTAGTTTTAAATTCTCTTACTTCATTTGCTCCTGGTCTGGCCATTCTCATCATGGTGGCACATGGTGCTGTGCAGGCAGACGTGGTGCTGGAGAAGAAGCTAGAGTTCTGTATTTTGATCCACAGGCAGCAGAAGGAGTCTGTGACACTGGGCCTGGCTTGGGCATGTGAGACCTCAAAGCCCACTCTCATAATGACACACACACACACACACACACACACACACTTCCTCCAACAAAACCACACCTCTTAATAGTGCCACTCCTTATGGGGGCCATTTTCTTCCAAACCATCACTATATGTCCCGCTGTGCTCAGCCTTAATTACTTTTTTAAAATTTGCTTTTTTATTTTGTGTGTATGACTATTTTCCTGCATATGTATCACATGCCATGTGCATTCCTTGTACCTCTGGAGACCAGAGAGGGCATTGAATTCCCTGGACCTGGAGTTGCAGATGATGGTGACTCACCATGTGGTGCTGGGAATCAAATCCAGGTCCTCTGGAAGAGCAGCCAGTGCTCTTAACCACTGTGCCATCTCTCCAGCCCATTAATAACATTTTAAAAACTTTATTTGTTGTGCCAGGTGTTGGTGGTGCACACCTTTAATCCCTGCACTCGGGAGGCAGAGGCAGGAGGATCTCTGAGTTCCGGGCCAGCCTGGTCTACAGAGCGAGTTCCAGGACAGCCTCCAAAAAAAATTTTTATTTTGTTTTTTGTTTTTTCGAGACAGGGTTTCTCTGTGTAGCTTTGGAGCCTATCCTGGCACTTGCTCTGGAGACCAGGCTGGCCTCAAACTCACAGAGATCCGCCTGCCTCTGCCTCCTGAGTGCTGGGATTAAAGGCGTGCGCCACCAACGCCTGGCAAAAAAATTTTTTTTTTATTTGTTGTATTAGGAGGGGATGTGGTGGGGTTGTGCCATGGCTTGCATGTGGAGGGAGGGGATGTGGTGGGGGATGGGCACATAGAAGACAACTTTCAGGGGTGTTTTTCTCCTTCCACCATGTAGGGCCCCAGGAATCAAACTCAGGTTCATTTTGGATTTGGTTTTGGATTAATTTGGGTTACTTCATGTTCAGCTTTTTCTACTGCCAGATTCTTTCTGGCTACCATGCTTAGTTTTATGACCCCATGGATTATGAAGCTATGTCTTAGTATTAATTGTTATCCATAGGGAACAAATCTCCCATTCATTCTAGTGACCTCTATTATATCCATTTTTGGAACTCTAGTCTCGGAACACTGCGTCAAATCAACCACTCAGGAGTCTTCTTCCCATATTGTTCTTCTTACTGGCCCCCACCTCACACACAAACCTTGTTTTCATACCCTGTTTTTAGAAGGTAGCAATTACTCTTTTGTTTTTTGTTTTTTTTCTTTCTTTCAAAATTTATTGCAGGATGATTCTGAGATGAAAGGAAGTGATCCTACTACATTACAGAATCAAGGAAAACAGGAAAATCAAGACCTCAGAACTACTACAAAAGTTCCTTCTTTGCCAGACCAGAGCCAACAAGATGGGAGTGCAGCTTCCTCAGGAAAATGTGGGGTCGATGGTACGCTAACTAGTATTTTCTTTTTATTTCTTTCTTTCTTCCTTCCTTTCTTTTTTCTTTTTCTTTCTTTTTTTTTTTTTTTGTACTTTCTCATTTTTATTTATGACAACTATTCCCCCATGTCTTCCAGTCAAAAGTTCTTTGAGACAATTCCATCAGCCTTAGCCAGTCAGAGAATAGAATCATCTGACTCGCCCATCCTTCCAATGGACCTGCAGATAGCATAGGTTTTAAACTGACATTAAACCGGCCTGTGCACCTGTCAACCTCGGCCACATTCATCTGGATGGATGCATGGTCCTTGGCTCCAATGATGCGGTTGCTCGCGGAGCATTTCCGCCTCATGTACAGGTCCACGAACTCGCCAGTGTCGTTCTGCATGTTGAAACTGCCTGCTCTCTAGGCCAGCGAAGCACAGAAAGTGCTAACTAGTATTTTCCAACTGAAGTTGCCAAGGGTATCATGTGTATTAGTTTCTGAGGAATGCACAAGGCAGTTTGAACATAAAGAAATTGTGCCATAAATGGTGGCACATTCCTTTTATCCCAACATTCAGGAGGCAGAGGCAGGCAGATCTTTGTGAGTTTGAGGCCAGTGTGATCTTCAGAGTGAGTTTTAGGACAGCAAGAATTACATAATGAGAGAAGACCTGTCTCAAAAACCAACAACACAACAACAGCAAAAAAATGAAAAAAAAAAAAAATCCCCTGAAAAATAAGAAAAAGAACAGAAATAGATTAATGTTTATATTTGGGAGCTGTAAATCTAAAGTCAGCGTGTCACTAATCCATGCTTTCCTAAGATACTGGGTACCTTCTTTGCTCCCTTTGCCTTGTAGTGGCTATGCCTGTCTGTTGTTCCTTGGCCTGATGCCACGTGCTCTGTTCTCTGCCTCTGTTATCACACAACATTTGTCTTAATTCGTTTGCCTGGTGATAGCTACTGTGAGGACACTGTAACCCACACGGGCCTCAAACTCACCAGTCTCCCTGTCTCAGCCTTAAGGGTTCTGGGATTGATTATCTGAATCCGTTCTTCTAAGGACACTCATCCTGTTGGGTTACTACCTACCAAACAACCTCTGTTTGGTTAAATATCTAGAGACCCAGTTCCTTAAGTGAGTTGACATCACAGGTGTTAGAGTTTGTGAACTAACTTATCTTCAGAGGACTGCAGTTCACCCTAGCCACACTTGGAACTTTCACATGTAGTACAATCAAAGCAAAACCTAGAAATAAATGCAGAAGACCACTCAGTCATATTTAGCATTTGTTATCTGGTCCTGGGATCAAACTCAGGAGCTTGAGTTGCTGCCTAAGTGCTCAATGACTGAACTACATCTTTAACCATGACTTTTATCCAGAGCAGAGTAAGAGGTTTCTGGAGAGTTTGGGAAGGTCAGTCTCTCCTTGGTGACAGGAGAGCCCATTTTGTTCTCTGTGACCCTCTGCATAACTGTAGACTGATGCAGTCACTGCCTGCTTCTTCACCCAGGACGTGATGACACCCACCTTTCATATAGTGAATGCCTGTCTTCCTTTCCTTAGTCCTAACATTTGGAAGATAAAGTGGATTTTTAGAGTTCAAGGCTAGTGTGGTCTGCAGAATAAGTTCCAGGCCAGCCAGGACAACATGGTGAGAGACTATCTCCAAAAATAAATAAATAAAATACATTTTCCTTAAATTTTTTCAACTAACAGGTTTTTGTTTCTTTGTTTTAAATTTTTAATACATTTTTAAATTTTATGTGTAAGAGTGTTTTACTTGCAGGTATGTATGTTTACCAGATACATGCCTAGTACCTTCAGAGTTCAAGAGAGCATCAGATTCTCTAGAACTAGAGTTATAGATGGTTGTGAGCTGGGAACTGAACCCAAGTCCTCCAACAGCAACAATGCTCTTAACTGCTGAGCTACCTCTCCAGCACCCTCAATTAAGTTTTAGAAGACCAGAGGACTCAGTTGGTCCATCCTGACAGCACTTTGTGCTCTCTAGTTTTATTCCTTAGGAAGCCTGACAGTTGTCATGGGTCATCTCTGTGTTGGGTTCCCCTTGGCAAATCTGCCTGGGCCCTGAGACTTCCTGGAGATTAGACAGGAAGGGTTTAGGGAGATAAGGCCATTACAGGGACCACCAGAATGTGGCGCAAAATGTCTCTCAGGTTTCCCAACTGTTAACATTTGACAACTTTCCCCTTCGTTTTTCCTCATTCCTTCTCTTCTTCCTGTCTCCCTTACTCTGTGTCTCTGTCACACACACTTTCCCCTGAACTCTGAGAGAAGCTACACATGTGTGTCTTTACTATTACATGTGTGTCTTTACTATTACATGTGTGTCTTTACTATTACATGTGTGTCTTTGGTTGAGGAGTGTGTGTATTTTATTTATTTATTTATTTATTTATTTATTTTTAGATTTTATTTATTTATTATGTATATAATATTCTGCTTCCATGTATATCTGCACACCAGAAGAGGGCACCAGATCTCATAAAGGATGGTTGTGAGACACCATGTGGTTGCTGGGAATTGAACTCAGGACCTCTGGAAGAGCAGTGAGTGCTCTTAACCTCTGAGCCATCTCTCCAGCCCCCCAGCCCCTTCTTTTATTGTTTTGTTTGATGTCCTTTTTTAAAGACATGATTTTATCTAGCCCACATTGGTCTGTAACTCACTATGTGACGGAGGATATTTTGAAATCCTTGTTCTGCTGTCCCAAGTGCTGGGATTACAGACATGTACCTCTTTGCCTGGCTCCTTATTTGTGTGTTTCTTTTCTTTCTTTTTTTTAAAGATTTTATTTATTATGTATACAACATTCTGTCTCCATGTATACCTGTGCACCAGAAGAGGGCACCAGATCTCATTATAGATGGTTGTGAACCACCATGTTGTTGCTGGGAATTGAACTCAGGACCTCTGGAAGAGCAGCCAGTGCTCTTAACCTCTGAGCCATCTCTCCAGCCCAATCTGTGTGTTTCTTAAATAAGAGTGTTCTTGTACAAAGAACATAAGTCCATATTCTTTTTTTCTTTTTTTTTTTTTTTGAGATAGGGTTTCTCCCGTTGGTGGCGCACGCCTTTAATCCCAGCACTCGGGAGGCAGAGGCAGGCAGATCTCTGAGTTCGAGGCCAGCCTGGTCTCCAGAGCAAGTGCCAGGATAGGCTCCAAAGCTACACAGAGAAACCCTGTCTCAAGAAACCAAAGAGAGAGAGAGAGAGAGAGAGAGAGAGAGAGAGAGAGAGAGAGGGTTTCTCTGTAGCAGCTCTTAATTGGTGTGTTTGGTTGAATAATACCTGCCATTACTAAAGGCTCTTCAGACACACTTCCTGTTCAACTGTGCCTCTCACAAGACCAAATATATTACACATAGTACGTAGAAGCAGATAAAATATTACCCTTTTTTTGTTTGTCTAGTTTTTGTGGTACTAAAGATGGAACCTGGCTGGGCAGTGGTGGCACACACCTTTAATCCCAGCACTGAGGAGGCAGAGACAGATGGATCTTTGTGAGTTCAAGGCCAGCCTGGTCTACAGAGTGAGTTCCAGGACAGCCTCCAAAGCTATAGAGAAACCTGGTCTAGAAAAACCAAAATAATACAAAAATAAATAAATAAATAAAGATGGAACCCAGGGCCTTGGCATTTGCTAGGCAAGTGCTCAAATACAGATATTTCTTAGAAGTTTTTTATATATTTGATTATTTAAGTCAACAGAGTTTAATGGAAAAATGTTTTTTTTATTTGTTTTATATTTGTGTATTTAGACAATAAAGATTCAAAGAGGCCTTTGGGAAAAAGATCTCTATCCATGGATGGGTCTTCCAAACTTGGAAACAATAAAAGGACTGCAGCTTCTACACCAAGTAAGTTTTGTACTCAAGGAAACAGTGAGTTGGCCTCCTCCAGACTCCTCTTGAATAGGTAGTGGTTCCCAAAAGCAAAAATCTCAGGTGTGGGGACCAGGGCTCATGTTCCACTGTTCCAGGTTCCTAGCTTTAGGATAGTGGGCACCTGACCTTCAGGCTGACTTTCTTGGTGTAAAGTGGTGATGGCTGTACTTCAGACCCTTTAACTAACTGAGGTGGAAAAGACAAATCTCTTGTTCTCCAAAACCAGACATCAGGGAACTGGTCAGGGAGATGGTGAATGCTTGATGATTTCTCAGGTGAACATGCTTCCCCTGAGTTTCCAAAAGCCGAGTGTTCTCAGATTATGTGTTAGTTGGTATTAAAGTTGAATGTCAGGAAAGTAAAGGGAACAAATGTTGGTATAAACACAGGGAAGGTTAAAATGGATTTCTGTCTTACTATTTTTCATATTGTGATACATTCTAGACTTTAAGAGGCTTCATGAGGCTCATTTTAAGAAAATGGAATCCATTGATGAATATATTGTGAGAAAAAAGAAACACTTGAACGAACACAACTCACTTAATGAACTAACGGTATGCAGACAAAATGAATATTTTTTTAATTCATTTATTTTATTTTGTACATATGAATGTTTTAGTGTTTTGCCTACATGTAAATATGTGTACCATGTACCTGCCTGGTGCCCATGAAGGTGAGATGCAGGGTTGGATCCTCTGGACTAGGAGTTACAGATAGTGGTGAGCTGCCATGTGGGTGCTGGGAATTAAACCCAAGTCCTCTGGAAGAATATTTAGTGCTCTTAAGCACTGAGCAATCTCTCCTGCCCTCTTCTTCTTCTTCTTCTTCTTCTTCTTCTTCTTCTTCTTCTTCTTCTTCTTCTTCTTCTTCTTCTTCTTCTTCTTCTTCTTCTTCTTCTTCAAGACAGACACTCACTACGTAGCTCTTGCTGTCTTGGAACTCACTATATAAGCCAGGTTGGCCTCAGACTCACAGAGGTCCACCAGCTTCTATCTCCTGAGTGGTGGGATCAAAGATGTGTGCCACAATGCCCAGTTTCTTGTTAATTCTTAAAACTCATGTTCTCAGACTAAACTTTGTTATCTGCCTTTTTGTTGTGTAGTCAAGGCTGTGCTGTGGAATATTTAACTATGTAAAGATGTGTTACATTTGTTTAATTAGACAAAGATGTGTTACATTGTGTTTCTCCTTGCCTGCCTAATGAACCTGATTGGTCTAATAAAAAGCTGCCAATAGCTAGGCAGTAGAGGGATAGGCAGGGCTGGCAGACAGAAGTAGGAAGAGAAATATAGGTTCAAGAGAGAAGGGAGAGCCTGGCGGTGGTGGCGCACAAGGCAGAGGCAGGTGGATCTCTGTGAGTTTGAGACCAGCCTGGTCTACAAGAGCAAGTACCAGGACAGCCTCCAAAGTCATAGAGAAACTCTGTCTCAAAAGCCCCCCCACCCAAAAAAAAAGAGAGAGAAGGGAGAACAAGGAGAAAGAGGGAGCTGCTCCCGGGGGCAGCCAGGCAGCCACCAGACAGACACACATGGAGAAAGCATTAAAAAACAGGACATACAGAATGCAGGAAAGGCAGCCAGGCGTTGGTGGCGTGAGCCTTTAATCCTAGCACTCGGGAGGCAGATGCAGGAGGATCTCTGAGTTTTTAGGCCAGCCTGGTCTCCAGAGCGAGTGCTAGGATAAGCTCCAAAGCTACACAGAAAAACCCTGTCTCGAAAAACCAAAAAAAAAAAAAAAGAAGAAGAAGAAGAATGCAGGAAAGGTAAAGTCTTGAGGCAAAATGCAGATGAAGAGAAACCAGTTAACATAAGTTATAAGAGCTACTGGGACAATATTAAGTCTCTGTGTCATGATTTGGAGGCTGGTGGTCCAAAAAGCCTGTTACAAGGCTGTCTTTAATTGTCTGTGGCTACAGGGTAGTGGTGGCACACACCTTTAATCCTAGCACTTGGGAGGCAGAGGCAGAGGCAGGTGGCTCTCTGTGAGTCTGAGGCCAGCCTGGTCTACAGAGTGAGTTCCAGGACAGGCTCCACAGAGAAACCCTGTGTTGAAAAAAACAAACAAAAATAATTGTCAGTGACCCACCTGTCTCAGCATCCTAAATAGTAGGATTGTAGGCATGAGGCACCACACCTAGCAAAATTTTAAATAATTTAACACTATGCAGAATATAGCTATGATCATATGACTGTATTTTGTGAATGGACTTATTTGGGTTTGACACATCATTCTTAAAATTGCTTCCTCCTGCCCTCAGAATTTTTAAAACCCTCCAAGTAAAACTATATCCTGCTATGTCATGGCTCATGCCTTTAACCCGGTACTTAGAAGGTGGAGGCAGGCAGATGAGTGAGGCTAATATGGTCTATAAGGTCAGCCAGTGCTACAGAATGAGACAAATTTTTTCCTGAGTGCTGTCATAAAATTTTAATTAAAAATAAATGAAAATAAAATATTATATGTATATATATACACAAAATAACACACACACACACTCATACACACACAGATAAATAGATAATTTCATCCCACAGTGGGATATGTTCTGTTTTCCACATTCATTTAGCCTTATTTGCATTGAGAATGAACGCTAGCTCAAGACTTTCTCTCCTAGTGAGGGTTTCATAATAGCTGTCTTAAAGGGTTCCTATGGAAACAGTTCCTGTGCAGGTCCCCAGTCCAGGCTTTGTTGGCCTCAGTGCTCCCTCAAGTAAGAAAAGGTGACAGAGCCAACTCTTCTTTGAGCTAGGAGAGTTCTGAATTGATGATATCTTAAGAAGTAAATGTTGCTGCTCTCTGCAGTTGATGGCTCTAGACAGGGCTGAGAAACACTCATGTAAGGACTAGTATTATATAGCTTACTATTTTTCAAAACAGAGGTAAGCCAGTTACAGCACTAAACATTAAAAAAAAGTATAAAGTTAATTTAAAAGGGTACTGAAGCTGGATATTGGTGGCACACACCTTTAATCCCAGCATTCAGGAGGCTGAGGCAGGTGGATCTCTGTAGGTTTGAGGCCAGCCTGATCTACAGAGCGAATTCTGGGGTAGCCAGGACCCCACACAGAGAAACCATGTCTTGAAAATCCAAAAAAATAAATACAATAAATTAAAGGGGACTGAGTGGAGCTGGAATGATGGCTCAGCAGTTAAGAGCACTGGCTGTTCTTCCAGAGGACTTAGGTTCAGTTCCCAGCATTCACATAAAAGCTCACAAATGTCTGTGACTCCAGTTCTAGAGGATCTGACACTCATTTGGCCTCCTTGGGCACCAAGCATGCACACAGTGCACAGACACACATGCAGGCAAAAGACCTATACACATAAAATAAAGAAATCTAAAAATTTCGGGTGGGATTTAGCTCAGAGGTAGAGCGCTTGCCTAGCAAGTGCAAGGCCCTGGGTTCGGTCCTCAGCCCTGGGGGGGAAAAAAAAGAAATCTAAAAATTAAAAACAAAAACAAAAACAAAAAAACCAAAACTTAGCCGGGCGTTGGTGGCATATAACCTTAATCCCAGCACTCGGGAGGCAGAGGTAAGCAGATCTCTGTGAATTTGAGGCCAGCCTGGTCTACAGAGTGAGTTCCAGGACAGGCTCCAAAACAATACATGAAACCGTGTCTCAAAAAACCAAAAAAAAAAAGAAAAGAAAAAAGAAAGAAAAAAAAAAAAACTTCCAGAGTATTTTCTCTTCTTTTCTTTCTTTTTTTTTCCTTTGTTTTTATTTATTTGTTTTTAGGTGCTTTTGTTGTTGTTGTTTGATACAGGGTTTCTCCAGTGTCCCTAGCTGTCCTGAAACTTGCTCTGCAGACCAGGCTGGACTAGATCCACCTGCCTCAGTCTCCCCAGTGCTAGGATTAACAGCATGCGCCACCACAGCCCTCCTTCTTTTTTTAAATTGATGTTGTTGTTATTTATTATCTTGAGACAGGATTTTATGTAGTCTAAGCTAGTCTTGAAATGTCTCTGGATAAAACTGGCCATGAACTCCTGTCCTTGTTGCCTCCACCCTGCATGTGGTGGGATCATAGGGATCTATCTCTCCACCTGGTTTGAGAGCAAGGTCTTATTTTGGAAATTATATTGTGTGTATGTGTGTGTGCATGTTGAGATCAGAGGACCATTTGTGAGAGTTGGTTCTTTCTTCTCCCATGTGGGCTGTGGGATGGAATGCAGGTCATTAGGCTTCTGCCTTTAACCACTGAGCTACCTTAATGGCCTGAGACCAAGATTTAAAATCATGCTTATTATTCCTTTCAAAAGCAGCTTGAGAAGAAAGGATTAGTGACCCCAGTTCCAGCAAGAGGAAGACTCTCTGTACCCTGTACTCCTGCCAGGCAGCAGTTCTCACAAGACCAGTCCCATGGCCCTGAAAGTCAGGGTACTATTTGTCTGAAGGGGTCAGACAAACACTCTGTGCTTTCAGCAACTAAAATGAATGTCAGGTAAAGAGATTTTTTTTTTCTTAAGGGATTGTATAGGTGTGTATACACACATTCACATTGGGATTTAAATCCAGGGGCTTGAGTATGCTAGATAAGGGGTCTACCAGTGTTCAGATATGCTTGGGGTATGTATGTGTGTAGGTTTGTTGGATAGAGGACACCCTCCAGTTCTGTGTAGGTTTCTTGGATAGAAGACAACCTCCAGTTGTCAACATGGGCCTTTTATGGTTCGTTTTTGGAGACAGAGTCTCCCACTGGCCTGGAACTTACCAAGTATGCTAGTCTAGCTGGTTTACCAGCCTCAGGAATCCACCTGTCTCTACCTCCCCATTGCTAGGATTATAAACCCACACTACCACACCTGTTGTTTTCAGAGGTATTAAAATGTACAATCATGTCTTAGTTGCAGTTACTATTGCTGTAAAGGGGGGGGGGAGGTTCCTTATACTTTCACATCTTCATTCATTATTGGAGGAGGTCAGAAGAGGGACTCGAGCAGGACAGGAACCTGGAGGCAGGAGCTGATGCAGAGGCCATGGAGGAGTGCTGCTTACTTGGCTTGCTCTCCATGGCTTGCTCAGCCTGCTTTCTTATAGAACTCAGGATCATCAGCCCAGGGGGCGCACTATCCACAATGTGCTGGGCCCTCCCCCATCAATCACTAATTAAGAAAATACCCTATGGCTGGGTTTTATGGAGGCAATTTTCTCAACTGAGGTTCTTTTCTTTCAGATATTGCTAGCTTATGTCAAGTTGACATAAAACTAGCCAGCACAATCACAAAAATACATGTCTGGCATGAGCAGAGAATGAGTTCATTCTTGTTCCACTCCACTAAATGAGATCATTTGAAGCAGATGTTGCTATCACCTCTCTGGTAGAACAGTCTCCCGTACCTTTGACTTAATGTTGCCAGGAGGAAAAAGGATGGCATCTTGGATGGCTTCCTGCACTGGTCCTTGAGTCCCACAGGCATCCCCTCATTGTCTGTTATTGGCAACACAACATTACCAGAAAATACAGAAACAAATTTTATTTATTATTTTTTAAGGATTTATTAGTTAGCCAGGCAGTGGTGATGCACACCTTTAATCCCAGCACTCGGGAGGCAGAGGCAGGTGGATCTCTGTGAGTTACAGACCAGCCTGGTCTACAAGAGCAAGTTCCAAGTTCCAAAGCCATAGAGAAACCCTGTCTCAAAACAAAACAAAACAAAACAAAACAAAAAAGATGTATTAGTTGATGTGTGTGAGCATTTGACTGCTTGTATGTGCACCACTTGTGTGCCTTGTGCTTTCAGAGGCCTGCCCGGCGTCAGCTCCCCTGAAACTGGAGTCACAGATGGTTGTGGGCTACCTCGTGGGTGCTAGAAACTGAACCTGGGTCTTCTGTATATGCATCCAATGCTCTTAACTGCTGAGATACCTTTCCAACCCCTCAAAACTTATTTTTACAAAGAATGGAAGTTAACAAAAGCAAGCCTTTCGTGTGAGAATGTGTGATTAACATAGCAAGTCTTTACTGAGGCTCCTATGCCAGCTCCTATGGCCCAGTGGTTTCATTTACAAGCTTAACTGCAGTTGCTCTTGTACAAACAACTCATCTTTCTCTCCACTATTGCATTCAGGTTCTCAGCTGCTACTAAAGACAATGAACATAAGTGCTCACTGACCAAAACTCCAGCCAGAAAGTCTCCACATGTGACCCTACCTGGGAGTGCTGCAAAAGGCCAGGCTGTGTTCAGGACACCCAAGTTAACGACCACTGAGAGGGCTTTTTTAAAGACTACACCCGCAGGTAAAAAAAAAAAAAAAGATTTTAACTTTAAACCTGTAACTTCTGAAATTAAGCATGCCTCTTTCTCTAAGGTCTCTTCATATGTATAAAATCAAGTTACAAAAAAGTCGTAACATATTTTTCATTTACCCTGGAGAAGGAAATACCAGAGACATAAACTATAAACTCACACACCTGCGGCACACACATCAAGATTCTCCTTAGAATCCCTTGAAAATGTCAGGCTGACAGTGGTTCCTAGACCAGGACAGTCCATTGCTTCAGACAGAGAAGTTATTGGTGATGATAATCGGTATGGACACAGTTTCTAGTGGGGTCATGGCCTAACTAAACAGGAAGAAGGAATTTCAAGGATCCAGGGCTAAGGGATGGCTTAGTGAACAAAAGCACTTGTCTTTTAAACATGGGACCTTAGTTCAATTCCTAGGACCTTTGTCTAACAAAAGAAAGCTGGATGTGTTAGTAGTTTATTGTAATCCCAGAGCCAGGGAGACATAGACAGGGGCTCCCTGGAGTTCACCAATTGATGAGATCCAGGCCATTGTGTACCTGACCTCAAAATATGTGCTCTGTGTCTATCTCTGAATCTGTCTGTCTATCTGTCTGTCTGTCTGTCTCTCTGTCTCTCTCATAACACACACAGAGAAAGAGAGAGAATGCATAGATGAAAATAGTAAGTTTATGGAATTCTTTTCTTAAATGGCCTCTCATCTGGCCTTATCATCAGGCAGTAAACGTTCTGCCTAGCATTCTAAACCTGAAGAAATGGCCTAGGCAGAATAATCAGAAAAAAAAAAAAAAATCTCTGTATCATTTAATCCCATGTAAGTGCTGGGGTTAAAGTCCTATGCCCCGCCCCCCAGCAAGATTTGAATTTTACATGAATAAAATTTGACTCTGACTTTTTTCCTGTGACTTTTTCACTCAACAGAATATTTCAAGTTTCAAACATGTTCAGTTTTTTGTTGTTGTTGATTTTTCAAAACAGGGTTTTTCTACAGCTTTGTAGACCAGTCTGGCCTCGAACTCACAGAGATTGGCCTGTCTCTGCCTCCTGAGTGCTGGGACTAAAGGCGTTCACCGCCACCACTTGGCTATGTTCAGTTATTTTTATGGTAGTTCAATAGCATTGATATATTTCAGTTTATCCCCCAAAGACATATAGGAACCTCCAGAACATACCATATGCTCTGGAAGTGTAAGAATTTGTTCTAGACACACGATCAAGACTTATGTACTGAAGGGTATACACCACCTCCTGCTCTCACGGCAGTGTAAAGCACCTTCACTCTGACACCTCCTGCTTTTGAGCCATTAACACAAAAGATAAACTTTCCTTTGTTATTGTTTCACTAAGTGACTTTTCATTTTAGCTATTCCTTCACAAATGTTCACATTGGACATGACTGAGTAGTTTCTCTTGTGAAGGGAAAGAAATATAAAATGTGGTAGATATTTGGTGCTCAACTGTAGCAATAAGGCTTTGTAAATTACACCATCCTAATTTTAACTTTATGCTACAAAAATTTACATTTCTTAAATAATAGCTTTTACTAGTAACTAGAGCTACAAATCTTTTCTCCCATATGAAATTGGTTCTTTTTTATCTATTTTAGTTAATAATACTATGCATTATTTATGTATTTTATTTATTTATTTATTTATTTATTTATTTATTTATTTGAAACAGGGTTTTACACTGTTCCAGGTTGGCCTGGAATTGAATGTGTAGCCCAAGATGGTCTCCACCTCACAACAGTCCTCCTGCCTCAGCTTTCTGAGTGCTGGGATTATAAATGTACTGGCTTAATTAATTTTTAAGATTCATTTCTTTTAATTACTTGTATGTATCTGTGGGTAGATATGAGCACATGAGTACAGGTGCCCACGGAGACCAAAAGTTGTCAGCTCCCCTGGAGCTGGAGTTACAGGTGGCTGTGAACCACCTGATGTGGGTACTGGGAACTGAACTCAGGTTCTGGAAGAACAGTGAATGCTCCAACCCACTTCAGCTCTCTATTCATTTGTTTTATTTGCTTTTTGAGACAGGTCTCATGTAGCTGAGGCCTTCCTGTCTTCACCTCTCAAGTGCTGCAGTTAGAGTCATGCCCTGGCACTCCCTATCAGCTTTTCTCTTTTTTCTTAAAAAAAGATTCATGTATGTATGTGTATGCACATGCATGTGTGCCAGAGCACACATTTGGAGGTCAGAGGTCAACTTGTGGGACTCACTCTCTTACCACCATGTGGGTTTCCAGGCATCAAATTCAGGTTTTATTAGGCTTCATTGCAAGCACCTGTATCCGCTGAGCCATTTCCCCAGCTATTTCAAGACTTCTGTACTCCTGGATGATCCTAGAAAAGGTCAAACCATTCAGAATATTCAGGGGCTGGGCTGGAGAGATGGCTCAGAGGTTAAGAGCACTCACTGCTCTTCCAGAGGTCCTGAGTTCAATTCCCAGCAACCACATGGTGGCTCACAACCATCCATTATGAGATCTGGTGCCCTCTTCTGGTGTGCAGATATACATGGAAGCAGAATGTTTTATACATTAAATAATATGTATAAAATCTTTAAAAAAAAAAAAAAAGATCTTGTGACAATGTTGCTCTAAATAAACATGTATTGTTTAAAAAAAAAAAAGAATATTCTGGGGCTGTTAACTGGGGAACAAACCTCAGTAGTTAGGTTCCTCATCTAGTTCATACCCCTTCTTTCTTACCTTTGAGCCCATGACCCATACATATTAATTCTGCCTGTTATAATTAACTACCAAAGGCTGAGAGGCTTATAACAAAAGAAATCAAGTGATTCTAGGCTAGATCAGGATTCTAGTTTGGCTGGGACCTAAAAAAGGCCCTTCAAGTACCAAGCTGCTGGTTTCTAGTCATATGCTCAAATGGCAAACTAAGTGTCTTAGTCACTGTTCTGTGGCTATGAAGAGACACCATGACCAAGGCAACTCTTATAAAAGAAAGCATTCATGTGGGGGCTTGCTTACAGTTTCATGTTGCCAGGGAGCATGGCAGTAGGTAGGCATGGTGCTCCAGAAAGAACTGAGAGTTCTATAGTCTGCTCTGCAGGCAATAGGCAGAGAGAGTCGGGGCCTGGCATGGGCTTTTGATACTTCAAAGCCCTCCTTCAGTGACACATTTCCTTCAGCAAGGCAATACCTCCTAATTCTACTAAGCCTATCAAAGAGTTCTACTCCCTGGTGAAGCATTCAAATATAAAAGCCTGTAGTGTCATCTTTATTCAACCACCACACTGAACTGGGATACACTGTGGGGATTCTTTATGATGCACTAAACCCACTTATGGGGAATGATTTCTCTCAATTAGAATTCCATTTCCCATGGGAATGAAAGATGGGAACAAAAACATTTCATCCATAATGTAGGTATTTTTAATTGGTAAAATGAAACTTTGATTAAAACCTATAATTTGGGGAGCTGGAGAGAGAGCTCACTAGTTATGGGTTGGGGAGTATTACTTTGTTTCTGCTGCATTTGTTTAACTCTGTGAAGCTGTGCTTCTTTGCCTGTCTAAAGCACCTGATGGCACTAATGAAGAGCTGAATGGCAGGAGCAAGGATAGGTGGGGCTGGTAGGCAGAGAGTATAAATAGAAGTAGCTAGAGAAGGAGGAGGACATCAGGGCCAGCAACCCAGCTACAGAGCAAGCCATGGAGTAAGATTTACAGAAGTAAGAGAATAGTAAAAGCACAGAGGCAAAAAGTAGATGGGATAATTTAAGTTAAGGAAAGCTGGCAAGAAACAAGCCAAGCTAAGGCTGGCATTCATAATTAAGAATAAGCCTTTTGTGTGATTTTTTTTGGGAGGAGGAGCTGGATGGTGGGTCCCCTCCAAAGAGTAAAAAGCAACCAACAACAGTTATAAGTATTTGCTGTTCTTCAGAGGACCTGGATTCAATTCTTTTTTTTTTTTTTTAATTATTTATTTATTATGTATACAATGTTCTGCCTGCATGTATCCCTGCAGGCCAGAAGAGGGCACCAGATCTCATTACAGATGGCTGTGAGCCACCATGTGGTTGCTGGGAATTGAACTCAGGACCCCTGGAAGAGCAGCTGGTGCTCTTAACCTCTGCGCCATCTCTCCAACCCCCTGGATTCAATTCTTAGCAATCATGTGACAGTTCACACTGTCCATGACTCCAGTTCCAGGAGATCCAATAGTTCCTGGGCACAGGGATGCATTTGGTACAGACATGCAGGCCGAACACTCATATATATAAAACAAACCTAAGAAATAAAATTTTAAGCTCTATAATTTTTTTGTTTGTTTGTTTAAGTAAGTTCTAGCTGGGTGTGGTGGTGCACGCCTTTAGTTCCGGAACTGTGGGAAGGGGACATGCGGAGGCAAGTGGATCTCTGTGAGTTCAAGGCCAGTCTGGTCTACAGTGTGAGTTCTAGGACAGTTAGGACTGTTACACAGAAAAACCATGTCCCAAAAAACGAAGAAGAAGAAGAAGAAGAAGAAGAAGAAGAAGAAGAAGAAGAAGAAGAAGAAGAAGAAGAAGAAGAAGAAGAAGAAGAAGAAATAATTGTTCTTTGATGTTTTGTTTGTCTGGTATTTTTGTTTTGCTTGTTTTTCAGTTATTACCCCATTCAAGTTGACAACTGGAGCAACACAGACTCCAGGCTCTAGTAAGAAACCGGTATTTGATCTCAAGGCAAGCTTGTCTCGTCCCCTGAATTACAAGCCACACAAAGGTATGTGGGGTTGTTTGCAAGGACAGTGCTGGTAGATGTCAAAAGGGCTAGAGGATTGTGTGTGAGTGAGTGTGTGTGTGTGTGTGTGTGTGTGTGTGTGTGTGTGTGTGTGTGTGTGTGTGTGTGTATACATAGGATTATAATGTATATAGTAGTAAATTGCTTCCAGGCAGGCATAAGACTCTGAATTTGACCCTGAACACTGGAAGACAAGAGAAAAAACTTGGAAGAAGTCCTACTATGGAAATTTCTGCCCCTGCTTCCACATGAATTCCTGACTTAAAAGGATTTTCCATTGAGCAAAACCAACTGATCTGCTTACACAATTGTTTACCAAGAACATAACTTTTCAACAGATTGATATTAGTGTAAAGGTCGCCTGTGTAGCCTTTTCATCTTTGCCTATTACAAACAGGGTGTATGAATCCTGGTTTTGAGTTTCTGCTCCTTTATTTTAAGACAGGGCCTCAAGTATTCTAGTTGTCCTCAAATTTGCTCAAAGCAAAGAATGACTGAACTTCAGAGTTAGGGGATCTTCACTTTATTTATATTTTTAGCCTTAAAAAAACAACAATAACAATTATTTTAAAGTACATATCAGATTGACTTTATTTTGTGTGTGGGTTTTTGTTGTTTGATCTTTGTGGTGTCTGTTTTAAAAGACAGGGTATATTTTAGTGGAGAAGGCTGTATGGCAGTAGCATGAGGCTGGCCCATTACACTGTGTCACAGCAGTTACAGGCAGACACAGTCCAACAAACCAGGAAGACACTTCAGTAGGAACATGAAAGCCAACCTCTCACCCTGTGTTGACTGGAAGCAAAGAGTGGTTTTTGATTGTGGATCTCACTGTGTAGCCCAAGCCAGTCTGAAACCCACTCTATCCCAGTGTGCCGCTGAACTCATGGCCTTTCATTTCCTTCAGCCTCCCAAGGTGTGGAATTACTAGTGTGAGCTGCCATGCCTAGCTATAAACTGCACAGTACCCACACAGGTGGCATATACTCACACATTCACATACAAATAACTAGAACATCTTTAAAAATCTTCAAAATATTCAAAATACGAAATTATTTTAAATGCTATTAAATAAAATGCTATTAGATAAATTATTTGGTTATAATTGCTTTATTCAATCTGATGTGTAATTACATTAACAATAACAGATTTAATTATTAGTATTTGCTTAAAAAAATTTCTTTTTCTTTTTTTGGGGGGTTGGGGGGTTGAGACAGGGTTTCTCTGTGGCATTGGAGGCTGTCCTGGAACTACCTCTTATAGACCAGGCTGGTCCTGAGTGCTGGGATTAAAGGCGTGTGCCACCACTACCCTGCAATTGCTTAGATTTTAGGTTATGTGTCCTGTCTGTTTGTGTGCATGTAAGTGCAATTGCCCAGGGAGGCAGAAGGTAACCTGGAATATGGAAGATATCCTGGAATATCCTGGAACTGGAGTTATAGGGGATTGTGAGTCACCTGACATGGGGGATGAGAACGGAACTTGGGTCCTCTATAAGAACAGTAAGCACTATTGGGCTGGAGAGATGGCTCAGTGGTTAAGAGCACTGCCTGCCCTTCCAAAGGTCCTGAGATCAATTCCCAGCAACCACATGGTGGCTCACAACCATCTGTAATGAGATCTTGTGTCCTCTTCTGGCATGCAGGGATACATGCAGGCAGAATACTATGTACTTAATAAATTTAAAAAAAAAGAGCAGTAAGCACCCTTGTAGGTAAAGCCACTTGCCACGAAATCTGACAGCCTGAGTTTGCAATTCCTGGGACCTCCATGTTGGAAGGAGAGAATCAACTGCAGGAAGTCATCTGTTGACTCCCACCCATGCATGGCACATGCACACAGATGTAAGACACAGGTCAGTGAGCTGCTGAGTGGCTAGAGTGCCCCTGCATAAACCTGAGCATCTTGCATTCTGTTTCCAGAGCTCTTGGTGGAGAGGAAAGACCCAGCTCTCTACAGCAGTCCTGTCGTCTCTGTACTCACACTCATAGAAACACAGTATACATTGCAGAAAATACATCTACAAAATATCTACAGAAAATATCTACAAAATGAAGCCAAAAAGATGGAGACAATATAGTTGTGAATAAAAGCATCCTAACACTGTCTGTTTTCTAACCTAGGAAAACTGAAACCTTGGGGGCAATCTAAAGAGAATAGTTCTCTGAAAGAGGGTGTAAGCAGAGTTAGCATCCACAGGAAAACTTACAAACAGCCTCATCTCCGCACCAGGTGAGTACATAACTATCTCATATTACACATTTTCTCATTTCAAAAGATAGCATTCCAAAGCATGTGAGGGATAGGATTTCACAGTGCCAGAAGTAACATATTCCATTCCATTTTGTGTTGATATAACAAAATGCTTGTTATTAGACACTCTACAGAGAACAGTTTATTTTGACTTCAGTTCTGGAGGTCCAAGGTGATGGTAGCGTCTTTTGCTGTGTTACAAGATGACAAATGACACGAGTGATGACTAGGCAATAGGAAAGTGTTCTGCTGTCTTTAACAGCCTCCTCCCTGAAGAGCTAGTTCATCCCCTAAGGCTTGGAATTCATCACTAACAAGGGTGGTACTGTACTGGTAACCTAATTTTATTTTCCTCTAGGCCCCACCTCCTAGAGATCCTACCACCTCTCAAAACCGTTATACTGGAGCTCAAGCTTGAACAACCTATATTCAAGTCACTATTAGAGTCAATCATCATTAAAACTTTCTGTAAAAGTGAGCTAGAAGGGCTAGAGAGATGACTCAGAGGTTAAGAGCATTAGCTACTCTTCCAGAGGTCCTGAGTTCAATTCCCAGCAACCACATGGTGGCTCACAACCATCTATAATGAGATCTGGTGCCCTCTACTGGTGTGCAAGGATATATGCAGGCAGAATACTATATATATAATAAATCTTTAAAAAACAAAAGTGAGCTAGGGGCCTGAAACACATAATAGCCTTTTTGTTGTTGGGGGGAATCTTTTTTTTTTTTTTTCTTTTGAGACGGGGGATTTCTCTGTGCAGTCCTGGCTATCCTGAAACTCATTAGTTGTGAATATAGTTGAGGCTGGCCTCAAACTCAGAGACCGATCTGCTTCTGTCTCCTGAGTGCTGGAACTAAAGGCATGCACCAACACTCCCTATCCATGATAACTTATCTAAAAATGTAAATTTTGTTAGGTATTTTCAGCACTAGCAAAATGGATTCCAAACTGGGTTTGCAATGCACCCCAAATACTGCTTCATGTTCCTGTGGGATCTGTCTTCCCAATAGCACATGGGACTATCCTTGCAGATGCCAGTACTCAAGTATGGGCAGGTATAAATTTTCCACTCCCAAGCAAACTAGGTATGTTAAGAGTGAAGCCTCACACAGCTCCAAATCAAGCATGGGCCTAAGATGCTCCCTTCTGGGCTGCAGTTGGTCTTGGCTAAATCAGATTTTTACCGCCTGGGACTCTCCCTATACATATAACCGTGCCTATATCCATTTCAACCAAGACCTTTTACTACCTGTAAGATAACATGTGCCTGGAGGTTTATTTTTCTTGTCTCTAGTCAGTGGACCGTAGTTGTAGTACTATGGCCAAACTATGTGTTTGACTTCTAGAAATAAGAATTCTCATTTAAAACTAATTTGTGAAGTACAGGCACTGAATTCAGTCACCAAGGAGTCCTCTGGTTCTTGTTCCATGCATGACTTTAGAATGCTGAGTTAACATAATAGCCTCTAGTCTTTGCATACAATGCTGACAAATGTTGGATCCTGTAAGTGGAGTCCAGTGCCCTGTAGACGTCTGTTACATACGTGTGCCAGATGCTATTTAACTAGATGCTAGATCAACAGCACATTCTTTACAGTGTCTGTTGGAAAATCTAGGTCAAGCCTAACATGCAACCTGTCTGTCCCTCTTAGGGAAGAACAACGGAAGAAACATGAGCAAGAACGAAAGGAGAGGAAAGCAAAGGTTTTGGAAGCTCGAAGAAACCTGGTTATGACTAAAGCCCAGTAATCCTGTCGATTCCTTTACTTCCAACTTGTTTTCCTTTTGTAAATATGTTTATACTTTCATCTACTTTAGTCAAAAGCTCTTTTTCTACCATATATTTCCATCATAATTTGTGGAGTATCTGTTCTTCATGTGCTATAGCTCTGGAAAATATATTCTCATCTTAAAGTTCATAACTAAAGTGGTTTTCACCTGATGTCCTGTACAACTCTGCTTTTGAAGAGACCTGTGTTTGGGTTCTTGCCATAGGTTTTTCATGTCAAGGTCCTGCTAGTTCTAACAGAGACAACCTGTGTCCTTTCCTGGACAAGAGCGTTTCCCTCATGGCAGGAAGCCACAGCAGGAGCCTAGCATGAGACTGTGGGTGAGGTAAAACCCACAGGGAGGGGGAGGCAGGAGAGGCCACCTCTTTGATCACTAGTCTGGAAAGTCTAATAATCGTATTAATTTGGTTATGGATCAGTATTTTATCAAGGTAAAACATGTTTTAGTTTATAGGAGCCTTGTTCAGATCATTTCATGTAATTGCCAACTTTTTCTCATTATATTTTAAAAATAGAATTCCTCAGCTCTTTCTTTGTTAAATGAAAGCCATAGGGCAAAGTGTATGCCTCAGTTGTACAGCTTTGTCTACCACACACTTGACCCTGGTACCATCACAAACAAAATGAGAATTGCTGCTGTACAAGTTACCACCTCTGTCAGACTTAACTCTTATTAACTGTGAGAGAGGAGAGCAGCTAAGCATAGCTTTCAGTTCCTTGCTCTGCCATGTAGAGATTCTGAGTTGTGTGTAATGTTTATGATTTTCATAAATAAAAATATTGTTTCACTTTGATAGATTCAGTCTTTCTAAATATAAGTTGCTAAGGATTTAGATGGCCATTGAAGGTAAGTAAGTGATGAAGGATGTCCTTCTGTGTATACATTTTTCTTACTGGTTGATGAATAAAAACTTGATTGCTCAGTAGAGGCAGGAAGATAGGTGGGACTAGGAGATGAGAGGCAAGAGAAGTGGCGGGAAGAGACCCCATGAAGAGACTGGGAAGATAGGACATGCCAGGCATTCTCTAGTAAGATAAGGTCATGTAGAAATACATAGCTTAGTAGTTATGGGTTAATAATTAAGACAGAGCTAGCCAATAAGAAGCCCTAGCCATTGGCCAACAGTTTTATAATTAATATAGTGTCTGTGTGTTTATTTGGGGCAAAGCGGCTGAGGGACCAGGTGGGACAGACACCTCCACCTTCAAGTAAGTGCTTACACATCCTACACACCCACTTCTCTTCCACAACAAACTATTTTTTTTTACCTTATTTATTTTTGATATTTTGACCCTGCTGTCCTGCATCGTAAATTATGTACTTATTTGTTTGAAGATTTATTGATTATTTATACAGCTTTCTGCCTGTGTGTATGCCTGCACACCAGAAGAGGGCACCAGATCTCATTATAGATGGTTGTGAGCCACAATATGGTTGCTGGAAATTGAACTCAAGGCCTCTAGAAGAGCAGCCAGTGCTCTTAACCTCTGAGCCATCTCCAGCCCCATAAACTTTTTTCTTGAACAGGGTCTCAGATAGTTCAAACTGGCCTCAAACTCACTTTTGTTGTTGTTTTGGGGATTTTTTGTTTTGTTTTGTTTTGTTTTTGGTGGGGGGCGTTTCGAGACAGGGTTTCTCTGTGTAGCTTTGGAGCCTGTCCTGACACTCGCTCTGGAGACCAGGCTGGCCTTGAACTCACAGAGATTTGCCTTCCTCTGCCTCCCGAGTGCTGGGATTGAGATGTGTGCCACCAACGCCCAAACTCATTTTGTACCTGAAGATGACCTTGAACTCCTGATCCTCTTGCCTCTACCTCCCAAGTGCTTGATGAATTAAGGTGTATATTACCATGTCTGACTGTAAAGAATTGTTTTTCTTTTTCCCTTTGTTACTGAATTTTGAATCAAAGGCCTTGCACTCACTACTAGGAACAGTAAGATAGCAAAGGTAATAGCCAACAGTTCTATTTATATACACTAGAAATTCATAAAGCTGAGCTGATTATGGTGACATAAACCTATAATCCAGTGCCCAGGAAACAGAGGCAGAAGGATCAGAAGCTACATGAACAAGGCCCTGATTCAAAAAATAAACTATAGGACTAGGTGGTATGGCTTGGTGGTAGGCCTCCTGCCTAGCATGAATAAGGCCCTGGGTTTGATTTCTAGTACCAGAAGTGGGGAAAAACAAAAAACCCTTAAGTTTGGAGAAATGGCCTAATTGTTAAGGATGAGTACTAACAACTCTTGCAAAGGACTCAAGTTCAGTTTTTAGGGCCCAAGTCAGGCAGCTCACAAGTGCTCATAACTCTAACTAAAGGGGACCCACACCCTTTTCTAGCCTTCATGGGCATCAGCACTCATGTGCATATACCCACACACATATACACATAATTTTAAAATTTAAATCTTTTTTTCCATTTTTTATTTCAATACAAGGTATCTCTGTGTAACAGCCCTGGCTCTCCTGGAACTCACTCTGTAGACCAGGCTGGCCTTGAACTCAGAGATTTGCCTGTCTCTGTCTCCCAAGTGCTGGAATTAAAGGAATGTGCCACTATGGCCTGGCCTAAAAATTAAATCTTTAAAAAAAATAATAAACTTACTGGGTATAGTAGTGTCCTATTTTACTTTTCAATTGCTATGACAAAACACTATGACCAAGGCTCCTTTGAAAGTCTTAATTGGGCTCACAGTTCCAGGTTAGAGTCTATGATCACCATGGTGAGGAGCAGGGCAGGCATGCAGGCATGGTGGCATGTTGCTGGTGCCATACTTCAGATCTTACTTATATCCATATCCACAAGTAGAAGGCAGAGAGAGCTAACTGGATAGCTTAGAGGTTTTGAAACCTCAAAGCTCCCCCAGCCCCATCTGCAATGACATACTTGCTCACCAAAGACACACCTCCCAATCCTTCCCAAACAGGTCCACCAACTGGGGACCAAGTATTCAAATATGAGTCTATGGGAGCCACTCCCATTTAAACCACCACAGTTGGCTCATTCTTTCAATTCATTACTTTGGAAAAATAGGCAGGATTGCTGTGAGTTCAAGGCCAGCCTGGTCTACACAGTGAGCTCTAGGCCAGCTAAAGTTATATAGTGAGACCCTGTCTCAAAATAACAAAAACAATGCTCTAATTCCTAAAGGATTTATCACATCCCATAATACCTCAACAAGAATCAAACCTTTAGCACATGGACCTTTGAGAGACATTTCATATTCAAATGATAGTGAAGATTTGTACACTAAAAATTATAAAATATTGCTGAAAGAAACCAAAGATCTAAATTAAGATATATTTCATGTCTGCCTCTCTTAGAAAAGATTCAATTGAAGATACTCAAAATTGATTTTTTATTGAATAGAAATTTTGGGGGTAGGGAAGGCTGGAGATATAGTCTCTGGCTGGCTGGCCTCACCCTCAGAGATCTGCCTGCCTCTCTCTCCTACTGAGTACTAGGATTAAATGCATGCACCACTCCTGGCTTCTAAAATTTGAGTTATTAAATGTAAATATATAAAATGGGTATTTGGAGAGATGCTAAAAATGCTCTTCTCTTAAGTATCTTTTTTGGAATTTTGTTTCCTAGGGTGCTATGGTTCATAAAGTCTGTAATTCCAGTTCCAGGGGATCCAACACTCTATTCTAGCTTTCATGGGCACTGTACATACATGATATATAGACAATACAAGCAGGCAAAACAACAATACACATAAAAACAAGCCTTTAAAATTTTTTAAGGGCTGGAGAGATGGCTCAGAGATTAAGAGCACTGGCTGCTCTTGCAGAGGCCCTGAGTTCAATTCCCAGCAACTATATTGTGGCTCACAACCATCTATAATGAAATCTGGTGCCCTCTTCTGGCATCTAAACATACATGCAGGCAGAACACTACCCATAATAAATAAATCTTTAAAAAAATTTTCATTTAAGGCAGCAGTGGTATCACATACCTTAATCCCAGCACTGTGGAGGTAGAGGCAGGCAGACCTCTGTGAGTTTGAAGCTAGCCTGGTCCACAGAGAGAGTTCCAGGACAGCCAGGGCTACACAGAGAAACCATGTCCCAAACAACCAAAAATAATTTTTTTTCATTTAATATGCATGGGTGTTTTGACTGCACGTTTATCTGTGCACCACGTGTGTGACTGGTGCCCATTAAGTCCAGAAGAGAACTTCAGTTACAGATGCTTGTGGATGCTGGGAACAGAACCTGGGTACTCTGTCAGAGCAGCCAGTGATCTTACTGAGCCATCTCTGTAGCCCACTCTGTGACATTTTTAAATGAATGGGACCCTTTAGCAACCATAGTCTATCTCTCCCATCAGCAACAGTTATGTAAGAAGCTCCTGAAAGTAAGAACTACTAAGTTAATGTCTTTGGAAGGCAATCCCTATACATCGGTATCCCATTTCCCAGTGACTTCCATGGCATATTTATCTTCATATTATTTAGCAAACTCCTTTCCTCAATTGTCAATTTGGATACAGAAAGGGAGAGTGGTATAAGATCAAACACAGTTGCCCTAGAGATGCCTTATTTGAAAACTGTCTCCTGCTGGGCAGGGGTGGCGCACGCCTTTGATCCCAGCACTCGGGAGGCAGAGGCAGGCGGATCTCTTGAGTTCGAGGCCAGCCTGGTCTCCAGAACGAGTGCCAGGACAGGCTCCAAAGTTACACGGAGAAACCCTGTCTCAAAAAACCAAACCGAAGGAAAAAAAGAAAGAAAAGTAGGGCATCAACTTTCTTGGCAAATACATTTCTTACATTGTGCTTTTGTTAACTAAAACCCAGCCCTTGTTTCATGCTGGGTCCCCCTTACCTGCTCTCTCTTAGCAATAGCATTTAACCTTAAGGAATATGTACCAACATGCATTTCTATTAAACAAATGTTCAGTCAGTTGGTGGTGGCGGTGGCGCACACCTTTAAGCCCAACACTTGGGAGGCAGAGCCAGGTTGATCTCTGTGAGATCGAGGCCAGCCTGGTCTACAGAGTGAGTTCCAGGACAGTCAGGGCTACACAGAGAAACAGTCTCAAAAAACCAAAGGGGGAAAAGGTAGTCATTTGGGGACAGGAATATAGCTCATGTTTGCCTAGCATACATGAGGTCCTGGGTTCGTTTCAGTTCCCAGTGTAAGTGTTACAGCTTTTAAGGGAAAGGTATCCCAACAAAAGTGTTCCAGTGGGCACCACTCCCCAGCAAAGCCTTACAGTGTTTGCTCCGGGGAAGGTTTCCCTAATAAAAGTGTAACAACTCTGCTCCAGCACTGGAGGGTTTCCCCAGTGAGGCGGTTACAGCTCTGTACCCCTCTGTTCCAATAAAAGGGAGTCATTATAACAAACCTCATTCAAGAGATTTATTGGGAGGCTGGAATCCAGGAGAGTGGCTGCCTCTGCCAGGGTGGAAAAAGGGCAGCCCCAAACTGAACAAGTACAGGGCTTATATAGGGTTTCTTAGGGGTGGAACTTTCCAAGGTAGAGATTTTCAGGGTGTGGATTAGTAGGATTTTAATTCCTGAGCTTGGGACAAACTCAGAGATTGGTTGGTTTTCAATTCCTGAATTGGTTAGGGGCAGGGTTTGTTTCCTTGATGCTGGTCTCAGGGTCAGGGTGTTCTTTCACTGGCCCTTTTTACCCTACACCCAGCACAACAGAAAGAGTCTAGGGGAAGTGGTAGACAGAAAGGCTTTATTTTGTACTTTGTGACCACTATTCAGTTTACTCAAGTCTGCCCCCAGTTCAATATTTGAAAAGTCTTGGGCTAAGAGCTGGAGAATTCTCATAAGCAAATTCTTCTGTATGGGCTGGATCAGTAAACACACCAATAAAATCTATTTCCAGAAAGAATGGTCCATCCACCTTATCTGCCAGGGTGAATCCTATAGAAGAGATCTAAATGTAAAATAAGAGAAAGAGATTAGAATCTAATACACTGATGCAATGGTGTTCTTCCTGAAGTCTCTAGGTGCCTGTAATGGAGGCTTCACGCCCTCAGCATGATGTTATACTTTTCATTTGCTGTACTAAATTATAAAAAGTACAAATAGAAGACTGCTTCCATTTTTTTCTAGACAGGGTTGCTTGTGGCCCAAGTTGGCCTTGAAGTCCTGGTCCTGAAGTCCTGGTCCTCCTGCCCTCCCGTCTCAGGTGCTGGGCACTTGAGTGACTGCTTCCCTCTACCACGTTCCACTTCCTCTCCCCTTCGAGGAGTCCACTCAAGATAGTCAGTACAGCATGGACTCTTAATGGAGTCTCCTTAAAGTTCTTCTGAGATCTTATTACACAGCGAAAATAAAAAGAAGCAGGCTGAAAACAAGACCACAGTAACATCCCCAGAGGTCCAAGCTCATATGGAGGTCTAAGTCAGCATCTGTCCCAACTGAGGAGCCCGAGTAGGACTTTTTTTTTTTTCCAAGACAGGGTTTTTCTGTGGCTTTGGAGACTGTCCTGGAACCAGCTCTTATAAACCAGGCTGGTCTTGAATTCACAGAGACCCACCTGCGTCTGCCTCCTGAGTGCTGGGATTAAAGGTGTGCACCACTACTGCCCTGCTCTGAGTAGGAATTTTAATCTTTCATCTGCCATCCCTGTAAAACAGACTGAGCTGGACCTACAGCAACCATACTTCACTAAAGAAGGCATCACTCTAAGTGGAAAACATTACCTTGTCAAGTACAAGTGGGCTCTGGACATCTCGTATCCTTCCTTGATTTGAGAAGAAAAATTTGGAGAAAGGAATCTGAAAAAAGAGACAAGTTATTTCCAAGCTGGAACATGACCATCTGAGGTATATATGCTAAAAGCTATAGTCACAGCTACTCGGGACACTAAGGCAGAAGGATCACCTAAACGCAGAGCAACATCACAACATCAATAAGTAGGTAAGTTAGTAAGTTTAAAAATACAGGTATAAGAAATGGCTAGCTCTTTGGGTTCAAACTACAATTTTCTGAAGGGTTTTGTTTTTGCAGTGATGTAGATTGAGCCTGGGGTCTTAGGAAGCATTTTAGCACTTTACCTTACACCTAAGATAGGCAATAGGTGCGCACACTCACACACAGAGCCAACAATCCAGTCAGCAGGCCTGTGAATCCCAGCTACTTGGAAGAATGAAGGAAGAAGATGATAATGAAATGATAATTCAAGGCCAGCACAGGCAACTTAGTTATTATGCCTTACTTCAAAATAGGAAAAGAAAAAAAAAGTGTTAGGCTGGCTGTGAAGAAGTCTTGGCGGCAATCCTTGTATGGGGTGGAGATGGAGTATGCCAGTTATTTGCATCACAGGAAAAAGGCAAATCTGAAGACTTTTTTTTTTTTGTCTGTGACAGGGATGTAAGTTAATGGTAGAGCACCTGCCAAACACTCCTCACCCACACACAAGTGAACTAGTTAGTAAGCTAACACACAGTGCTGACTGGGTTTTTTTGTTTTTTTGTTTTTTTTTTTTGGGTTTGTCGAGACAGGGTTTCTCTGTGTAGCTTTGGAGCCTATCCTGGCACTTGCTCTGGAGACCAGGCTGGCCTCGAACTCACAGAGATCCGCCTGCCTCTGCCTCCCGAGTGCTGGAATTAAAGGCGTGCGCCACCAACACCCGGCTAGTGCTGACTAGTTTTATGGCAACTTGACACAAGTCATCCAAGAGGAGGGAAGTTCAATGGAGAAAATGCCTCTATAAGATCAGGCTGTAGGGAAGCCTGTGGAGCATTCTCTTATTAGCGATTGGTGGGGGAGGGCACAGCCCATGGTGGGCAGTACAATCCCTGGGCTGGTGGTCCTGCATTCTATAAGAAATCAGGCTGGGAAAGCCACGAGGAGCAAGCCAATAAGCAGCACTCCTCCATGGCCTCTGCATCTGCTCCTACCTCCAAGTACCAGACCTGATTGAGTTCCTGTCCTCACTGCCTTTGATAACGAACTGGTGTATGGAACTGTGAGTGAAATAAACCCTTTCCTTCCCAGCTTGCTTTTGGTTATGGTATTTCATCACAATAATAACCTAAATTACGATACATACACACATAAATTTGTTTATTTAGAGTTAGCATCTCTCTATGCAGTCCTGGCTGTACTGGAACTAACTACGTAGACCAGGCTGGCCTCAAATTCACAGAAAGCACTTGCCTCTACCTCTAAAATGTTGGGATTAAAGGTGTGTACCATCACCACCCAGCCTGGCTCATTTTTATTAATGGAAAAACAAAACATTTGTCCTTTAAATCTCTCTCCAAGGACTGGCTGGAGAGATGGCTCAGAGGTTAAGAGCACTGACTGTTTTTCCAGAGGTTCTGAGTTCAATTCCTAGCAACCACATGATGGGCTCACAACCATCTATAATGAGATCTGGTGCCCTCTTCTGGCCCACAGGAATATATGCAGGCAGAATAAGTCCTTAAAAAAAAAATTTCCCCTTACTTCTGCCTCTATTTTATGTAAGAATGATTAGTATGGGTTGGAGAGATGGCTCAGTGGTTGAAAGCACTGGCTGGTCTTCCAGAGGACCCAGGTTCAATTCCCAGCACCCACATGGCAAGCCTGTCTGTAACTCCAGTTCCAGGGGATACAATACTGACACACAAACATTCATGTAGATGAACTACCAATACTCGTAAAATAAAAATAGATAAAAAATGTTAAAAAAGAATGATTAGTATGAAAAAGGAAACTACAATGTAACCATAGTTTCAATGAACCCCATTTTCCCAAACAGTGAAGAACTGAAATTTTACCTTGACTTCCTGCCAGTAGGGCCCCCCACGGGTGAACATGAAGTAACTGTACATCTGATTTTTCCTCTGGATAAAGTCTGTATCTTGCCTGATATTCACCATCCAAGGCCGGCCATCCCCACGGACTCGGAGATACAGAGAATTGAACAGGGACCAATCATAATACTGCTTCCTCTCAAAAGAACGCTAGGGTACAGAAAAGTTAGTTTGCATGGTTATCACCAAGTTACCACCGAGTATGCTGTATTGTTATGGGGAGAGGGGCACATATGACATCAGAGGACAACTTTTGTTGGTCTTTCATTTCTCCATGTGGGTTCCAGAGATTAAACTTGGGTCTTCAGGCTTACCAGCAAGTGCCTTAGCTACTGAGCCATCTTCCAGACCCACTAGGGCATTCCATGTATATATTTTTTTCTTTTTCTTTTTCTTTTTTTTTTTTTGGGGGGGTTTTTTGAGACAGGGTTTCTCTGTGGCTTTGGAGCTTATCCTGGCACTTGCTCTGTAGACCAGGCTGGCCTTGAACTCACAGAGACCCGCCTGTCTCTGCCTCCCGAGTACTGGGATTAAAGGTATATTTTTATATACCTGGCTCCATGTATATTTTCTACCACGAAGAGACAAATAAACCAGTATTTTAGTATAGAATACTGACATGTTTCTAAGGTAATTGTTGAAGGCATGATTAAGCTAGGACAATGCTTCCATATGACATCCATTTGTGTTTGCTGAATGGAAATTAATGTAATTTTCCTCCCTAGTTCTAAGACACAATGGCTTCTGAGTGGCCCATTTAATGACAACTACCTTACCCATCAAAAATCAAGCTCAGGTTTTAAAAATCAAGAGGCTGGGAAGATGTCTCAGTGCTTGCTGCAAAAGTATAAGGACCTGAGTTCAGATCCCCAGCACCCACATTCAAAACTAGGTATCCTGCAGTATCCACCTGTAACTCCTCACTCACAGAGACAGGAAGACAGGAAGACCTGGGGGTTCACTGGTCAGCCAGTCTAGACAAAACTGTGAGCTCCAGGTTCAGGGGGAGGACCTTGTCTCCAAAAGCAAGGCAGGCAGTGATACAGGAAGACATCCCAACGTTACCTTCTGGCCTCCACATGCTCACACACTCTCGTCCCTCCCTCCCCCCTCATACACACACAATAATAGCGAACACCCATTCAAACAATTTACATGCCTGATTTCCTTTAATCCTCCTCACAGCCCTGAGATACAGATATCACCAAGATGTCTTACCCCATTTCATAGATAACCAAGTATTCAGCTAGTCAGGACAAGCACTGCTTAACTCCCAAATCTGTATTTAACGGTTTAGGTCACTCTCTTCAAAAAGTGGCATTTAAGGTCTAGGTATGGTGGCACATGCCACTAAGGATGCTGAGGTAAAAAGATTCTGAGACAGCCGAGTGTTGGTGGTGCACGCCTTTAATCCCAGCACTAGGGAGGCAGAGGCAGGCAGATCTCTGAGTTCCAGGCCAGCCTGGTCTACAGGGCGAGTTCCAGGATAGGCTCCAAAACAATACAGAGAAACCCTGTCTCGAAAAATCTAAAAAAAAGATTGAGGCCAGCTTGGGCTATAGCTATCAGACCAGCTTGTGTTCCAGAGTAAGACTCTGTCTCTAATAATAAAAAGAGAGAAAAGGAAAGGAATATTGTTGGCATTTCCATAGGCATTTATTTATTTATAGCACTCTCAAGGACAACTGGGTTTCAAAACATCAATGCTCAGACATGTACTAATACTCCCTCTGACTAGCTGTAACCCTAAAGGAATCACTGACTCCCAAAGCCTCAGTCCCTCACATTAGCACTGGGATGATCTTATTCCCCAGGACTATTCTGAGGGATAAGTGGAGAATGTACATAAAGTGCTTAGCACCAGTATTGGAAAAACATACCAACCAATGTTAAACTAGGTGTGCTGGCTCCCATCAGTAATTCCAGGGCTGGTGCAGAGGCAGGAAAGACGATGTGAGCTTAGGGCTAGCCTGAGCTATATAGGGGATGGTGATATACGCCTTTAATGCCAGCACTAGGGAGGTAGAGGCAGGAGGATCTCTTGTGAGTTTGTGACCAGCCTGATCTACAAATCTTGTTCCAGGACATTCAGAGTTGTTACACAGAATGACCCTGTCTCAAAACAACAAAAAAAGAAAAGAACAAAAATAAACAAATAGCTAAAATGAACAATGTTCTTGTTCGTGTAATATGGAGTACTGACTGGAAAGAGGGCCATGCACAGGCCAGGGAAGCATTCTACTACTCTGCTGAACCTCTAGCCCTCCTTTGACTAGGTAGTGCTCTGAGATGGGGCCTCCCATAGCCCAGCACTCACTATAGAACTCAGAGCAACGGTGAAATCCAATCCTCCTGGCTCCTCTCAAACACAGTGACAAAAACTATTAACAAGGTTTTTATTTTGAGATAGTGTCTCACTAATTTGCCTAGGCTGGCCCTGAACTTACTCAGAAGTCTAGGAAAGCCTTGGATTGGCAAAACTGCTGCCTTTCCCTCCCACACTGCTGGGATCACAGGCCTGCACTTCACTTTAACATGTAATCTCTGACAGGGTTTTTGGGTTAAGAATTCTGAAACTGGAGCAGGGTTAGTTTAGTTTCTGATAACTTACAGAGAATACTGAAGGCCCTGGGTTTGATCTCCAACACAGAATACACATGAAGCATGGTGGTGCAGACCTGCAATCCCATTTGCTTAGGAGGCGGGAGCTGGAGGATCACTTAAACCCAGGAATTCAAGACTAATTTGGGCAACACAACAACAGAAATTCTAAAACTGCATTATATATTTACTGGGGTTGGACTAACAAGTAAGTGGATGGTGAGAGGATGAAGATTTCTCACTGTTAGAGATGGAAGTTACAGATGAAAGGTGAGAGGCTAGAATGAACCACATGGCACTGGAGTCAGAGACAATAGGATGTATCCATATTTAGCATAACACTGACACAGCGCAATAACAACAGATATGCATACATGGCCATTAAGCATACACATGTAGTCATTTGTTACTTGTGGGAGCATGATGCCACACCCAGCTTCTTATGTGTACTGGAGATCCAAACTCCGGTCCTCAACCTTGCATGGCAGGCACTTCATTACTGAGCCATCTCCCCAGCCCCCAGCATAGTAATGTCAAATATTAGTACTACAAGTACCAGACATGATAGCACACCCCTTCAATCCCAGCATTTAGGTCAAGGCAGGAGTATCAGGAATTCAAGGTCATCCTCAAGGCCAGCCTGAGCTTCATGAGGCCACAGGGTGACCCTACTTAATCCATGCTGGAGATGTAAATCTCCCCAGATACATTTCAAAGTCTATCTCCTTAGGGTTCCTCGGACACACACAATTATCTCAGACCCAAACAAGGACTGCCCCATTTTACACTCAGGCCAAGTAGTGATTTACCCCGATAAAGAGGAAAGATGCCTATATAACAAAACAGATGTGTTCATTTACAGAAAAGCAAGCTGTCTGTTATAGCTGGTGCTATCACCAAAGCCACTAGAAAACTGGCTTCTAGACTTCACCTACCCTTGGAACCCTGGATAACATTGCACAGTATCCACTCTGGCTACTGTCTCCATCTTTAGGGGCCTCGGAGCTCAGAGTCCCATAGAGCAGGGCACTTTGATTGTTCTTGGCTATTTTCAAGAAGATTTCACTTCTGCCTCCAATTGTCTTATCAGAAGTCACCATCCACTTCTCCAAATCTTTTTTTTCACGAAACTTCCAGACAACCTTGGCTTGCTCCATTATGACCTCTTGTAATGGGCGGCCTTCTGGGCCTTTCCAATGAGCCACAATTTCATCCTTCCAACGCCTAATATGTTCTACTGCTTCATCTCTAATTGCTTTGTCAAAACTAACTTCGGGTTCATTGTCAGGGGAAGTTACATCCAAAGCGGCTTCTTTGTGGCGATCCTCTTGTACACCCTCTTCAGTCTTCCTCTGCTGGGAGACTCTGTCAGCAGGAGCCACTTGTTTCTGCGGATGACTGGAAGAATAGTCTACAAACTGAATACCCATAAATGGGTGCAAGGCAGCCCTTGGCTTTAGGAAGTTTCTATGGATATAAGTACCAATCAGTAATTTGTGAATGGAAGCCATTGTAAGAAAAAAAGCCAAAATGTAAAAATTTCCGTGGGCTGAAAAAATAAGCTTTGGCAATCTGCCCAATTTCACCTATAACAGAAGAAACACTGGTTACCAGCAGAGCAACAAATCAGTGGAGCAGAAGTTCAAACTCAACAGAGACCATGTATTGTGTAATTCATAGGCTTTTACCCCTCAATTTATTCAGCAGTGGCTTTTAGAAACAGAGTACTATCTTATGTATCACACACACACACACACACACACACACACACACACACACAAAAAAAAAAAAAGTGCCAATATAGCCAAGTATGGTGACATATGCCTGTAACCCTAGCACTTGTGAGACGAAGGCAGGATTGTCAGAAGTTTAAAGTCATCCTCAGCTACATAGTGAGTTCAAGGACAGTTGGGCTATATGAGACCCTGTCACTAAACAAAACAAAACTACCAACACGCCTAAAAGCAAAGCCTCAGCTTCACAGAGATGATGAGCAACCCCCAAATGACTCAAGTATGTGCCAGAAGCTGCCTCAAGAGGTTGTATCAACTTTAAAACAGCCTTTTCTTGGGGGTTTTAATTTTTGTATTAAACTTTTTTTCTTCTGGAGTTGTGTTGTTGTTGGGCTTTTTGTTTGTTTGATTGGTTTCGGGTTTTTTTTTTTTTTTTTTTTTTTTCTTTTTCAGGACAGGGTTTCTCATGTAGCTTTGGAGCCTGTCCTGGGAACTCACTCCGTAGACCAGACTAGCCTCTAACTACCTCTGAGTAGTTAGAGACTCACTTACCTCTGCCTCTCAAGTGCTGGGATTAAAGACTGGCGCTACCACCATCAGGCTTTCTTCTGGAGTTTTTTGGGTTTTGTTTTGTTTTGTTTTAATTTGTTATTATACAATGTCCTGCCTGCATACATCCCTCCAGGCCAGAAGAGGGCACCAGACTATGTTACAGTAGGTTATGAGCCACCATGTGGTTGCTGGGAATTGAACTCAGGACCTCTGAAAGAACAGGCAGTGCTCTTAACCCCTGAGCCATCTCTCCAGCCCTCTTCTGGAGTTTTAAAGGTTCTAAAAAGTAAAATACTTGAGTAATTCAGTCTAGAGCTTGGGGCAAATGATTTGGATTTAGTTCTTCATCTACAAACAGTGGGCCTAAAGTGAGCACTGCACAGAGTCAGAAAAGCTGTGATACTTGGTTCTGTCACTCACATGGCTGTGAATATTGGAGCATTGAGACTTCATCTACTAAACCAATAAAGCAGTTGCCTTCACAGAAAACCAGTTGATCTTTTGAATCGTCTTTTTCTTCAGAAATTAAGCCCCTATCTACCCTGAGAGCTTTTTCTGAGAATGAGATGAAGTGACAGTCACAAAAAGGCTCTCTGAACCTCTTCATGACATTCCCAAGATCTTTGTGTCTGACAAATTTGTAAGCCAAGGGACACACTGGCATTATTATTTGAGCACCTCAAAGGTAGACCTAAGAAGGATGGTGACGGCTGTAATCCTAGCATTTGGCAGGTATGATCAGGAAGTCATCTTGGGTTACATAACAAGTTCAAGTCCAGTCTAGGCTGTATAAGACCCTGTTTTGAAGAACCAAAAAAAAAAAAAAAAAAGAAAGAAAAAAAGAAAAAGATAGTAGTATTGTGCCCAAGTCTCAAAGACCTTCAGAGACCCTCAGAGACCACCAAGGAGACAGACTTCACCAAACTGCAAACACAAGGCTTTAATGTTTAATCCTACCAGTAGGGACCTCGTCCAGCCAGCTACCTGGAGGAAGCAAAGTACCTTGTCTATTGCTGGAATTTAAAGGAAAAAAAAAAATCACAGAATTACATCAATAGGCACGGGTCTGATACTGATTGGTTGACATTTGGAGAACAATTAGAGGAATTTCCCAGAGTCAGGGCAACTGGTTTGTTAGTATTTTTGATTGGTTGTCTACAGATGGAGGCATTGGTGGTTTCTATGGCTTTGTCTGTTACTTGAAGGTATCCTGTTCTCATTGGTTGGTGCTGGGAGGGAGCATTCTGTGGTTTCTATGGCTCTGTCCATCTCCTGGAGGTGGTTTGTTGCTAAACACAATATCCAGGTACTTACTAAGTCTAAGAGGAAGGTTGTCTTGGAGTTTTGTTCATAACACAAGAACTAGAAGTTAGGGGACTGGATTTCTTTTGAAGGCTTTTCCATAACCTTTACATTTTATATAGTTTCTCTCCAGTATGAATAATAAGAGTTGAATGGGAACTTAAGGCTTTGCCAGATTTATACAATTTCTCCCCAGTGTGATTTATTAGAAGTGAAGCCTTTGAGTTTAGTTTACCTCTTTCAGGTAGACCTAAATAATACCATCACATTTAAACCTCACTGTTAATACTTAGAGATTTTCTGACATATATTATCTCATTTAATCCACACAAGAATCATGTGAGACTGGGGCCGGCAAGACGGCTCAGTGGATAAAGACACTTGCTGAACAAGCCTGGAAGCCTGAGTTCAATTCCCAGGACCAACATAAAAGTGGAAGGAGAGAGCTGGAGAGATGGCTCAGAGGTTAAGAGCACTGACTGAGTTCAATTCCCAACAACCACATAGTGGCTCACAACCATCCATTATGAGATCTGGTGCCCTCTTCTGGTGTGCAGATATATATGGAAGCAGAATGTTGTATACATAATAAATAAATAAAATCTTTAAAAAGAAAAGTGGAAGGAGAGAGCCAGGCCGTGGTGGCACACGCCTTTAATCCTAGCATCCAGGAGGCAGAGGCAGGCAGATCTCTGGGAGTTTGAAGCCAGCTTGGTCTCCAGAGTGAGTTCCAGCACAGTCAGAAGTACACACAGAGAAACACTGTCTCAAAACACAAACAGAAAAACAAAACAAAGTGGAAGGAGAGAATTAATGACACAAAATTTTTCTGTGTCCACACATATATCACAGCACATGTGTCCACACACATCCATTGTGAACACACACACACACCACAAGTAATATTTATTTATTTACTGGAATTTTTTCGAGACAGGATTTCTCTATATAGCCTTGGCTGTCCTGAACTCACTCTGTAGTCCAGGCTGGCCTTGAACTCAAGAGATTACCTACCTCTACCTCCTGAGTGCTGTTATTAAAGGTGTGTGCCGCTGCCACCGCCGCCACCACTACCACCGCCGCCACCACTACCACCACCAACTCACAAATAATTTAAAAAAAAAAATGCTGTGAGGTGAATCAGTGAGCTATTTCCTCTCTGTAGGAAACACACCAAGAAATTTGTCTATAGTCACACTGTCTCCCAGTATTGAAACTGGGACTAAAACCCTGGCCTAGTGTCCGTTAGTAGACAATGCTGCTCCCCGTAAGACAGACACCAGCAATATTACTCCTACAGTTCTAATAAAGTATCAACTCTGCCTGTAACTCAACATTTAAGGAGTGAACCAGAACAGCCCTTCTTCCCTCCTATTCCAGCCAGTCCTGGAAAGAAATAAAATATACAACAATAGTTTCTTTGTCTTTCTCCTGTCCCAATCCCAAAGATCAGTCCAAATCAATATAAAAGCAAAGATCTAAGACCTGAAACTCTGTGGCAAAGTACTTGCCAAGTATGTGCAAGGTCCTGGACTTTACCTCCAGCACCACAAAACAATACTAAACAAAAGACTCCGATACCAGTCAGCATATAGCAACAAACAAGACATTTTAATGGGAGCAGGGTGCTGGAGAGATGGTGCATCAGTTAAGAACTGTTGTTGAGGGGCTGCAGAGATGGCTCAGGGGTTACGAGCACTGGCCGCTCTTCTAGAGGTCCTGAGTTCAATTCCCAGCAACGACATGGTGGCTCACAACCATTCGTTATGAGATCTGGTGCCCTCTTCTGATGTGCAGATATACATGGAAGCAGAATGTTGTATACATAATAAATAAAAAATAAATAAATAAATAAAATTTTGGGAGGATCTTGGTAAGATGACTCATCAGGTAAAGTGCTGGCCATACCTGACAACCAAAGTTGAATCCTGGAATCCACATAAAGGTGGAAGGAGAGAACTGACTCCATAAAATTACCCTCTGATAACCACCACACAGTATTAATAATCATAATCATAGTCATAATAAATTTTAAGTCGTCAACAATCTAGCCCACCTGTTAGTGCTTGAATTTGAATCAAAATGGCACCCACATCCAAGCATAGAATGTGTCCATAATATAGCATTTGGAAAGCCTGGGCAGGCGCATCCTAAGTTGAAGGTTAGCATGAGCTACATAATGAGTTTCAGGACAGTTTGGGCTACACAGTAGGCTGTGTATCAGCCTGAAGTAGGGTGCAATATTTTCCTGACCTAATCCAAAAGAAATACCCAGGCCACTTCAGCTACCACATAGGACTTGCTATGCTTCTAGCATGGCCCCCTTCTTCACTCCACACATCAGGTAAGTCATCTTTTCTCTCTGGTCACTGCACTCTTCACATTGCCACACTTTTGCAACTCCTTGCTCAGCCTCTAGAAAGGCACAGAACACAAATCTGATTATTCTTCCTTCTTTCTTTTATTTATTCATGTATTTATGTATATATATTCATGCACACCAGAAGAAGGAATCTGATCGAATTACAGATGGTTGTGAGGCACCATGTGGGTGCTGGGAATTGAACTCAGGACCTCTGGAAAAGTAGTCAAGTGCTCTTAACCAATGAGCCATCTCTCCAGCCCCCCCCCCCTTTTTTTAAACCAGTTAAAATCCTCCAGGTACCTAGAGAGATAGCTCAGTGATCAAGTATAGGCTGGGCATGCACAAAGCCCTGGATTGATTGATTTTTTTGGTTTTTTGAGATAGGGTTTCTATGTGGCTTTGGAGGATGTCCTGGAAGCAGTTCTTGTAGACCAGGCTGGTCTTAAACTCACAGAGATCCACCTGTCTCTGCCTCCAGCGTGCTGGGACCAAAGGCATGCGCAACCAACGCCCGGCAACAAAGCCCTGGATTTCATCCCCAGCACTAAAATAATTGACAGATGATAGGCAGATTCCTTCAGAAGCTCCACCTTCTCCACCAAGTCTGCTAGGCTCCACTAGATCAGGTCTCCTTTGCCATCACTTCAATTTCAACTTTAGTCACATCTCATACCCCATTCTGCATTCCAATCAGATGGAAACTTGTGATTCAACCAACACCTCTTGGGCTATAGGCCTTTGCTAATTGCTGCCCTTGGGCCAATGTTCTCTGCTGATTTTGCCTTGAGACTTAGCTTAGCCATGTTACACTATGGGGAAAAAATGGTCCATGACTACCCAATTGCACCAAGAACAGTGCCCCTCTGAATCATTCCCAATGAATCCTGGGTTTAGAATTTTCCAGTTTCAGTCTACTGACCAGTTCATTTGTCAATCTCCCCCAATTCAGACTAGAAGTATCTTAAAGGTTGAATATTTAATATTGTACCTCCAAGTCCCAGTATGACAACCAGCTGCATCCTTGAGACTTTTAATATTTGTTGAACTAACAGGTCACATTTCTGTATCCCTCTCACAATGTGAGGGTTCAGGACCTTGCTGCTTTTACCATACCTATAGAATTTCCCCTAAACAGGGGTTTCTTAAATTTTAAAGTGGCTTTAAGTCACCTGGAAATTTTTATTTAAAATGAGCTTCTAATAAAGTAGATAAAGGCCTTGAATTTCTAATCCTCCTTCCTCAACTTCCCAAGTGTTAGAATCACAGGCATTTCTTTTTTTTTTTTTTTTTGGTTTTTCCAGCCAGGGTTTCTCTGTGTAACTTTGGAACCTATCCTGGCACTCGCTCTGGAGACCAGGCTGGCCTCGAATTCACAGAGATCTGCCTGCCTCTGCCTCCCGAGTGCTGGGATTAAAGGCGTGAGCCACCAACGCCGGCTCAGGCATTTCTTACCATGCCCAGACAGAGATTCTGTATTTCTTTTTTGTTGTTGTTAAGAGTATCATGTGACCCAAGCTGGTCTTGAACTCCTGATCCTTCTACCTCTATTTCCCAAGTGAAGCCTTGTTAAAGAAAAAACCTTTTAAATATCAAAGTCCTGGTCAGATTTGGGTGCAGTCTACAAAATCAAGCACTTGGGAAGTAGAGACACGAGGATCAAGAGTTTAAGGTCAACTTTCAAGTCCAGGCTGGGGGGGGGGGGGGGGGGGGGGGGGTGGAGAGATGGCTCAGCGGTTAAGAGCACTGGCTGCTCTTCCAGAGGTCCTGAGTTCAATTCCCAGCATCTACATGGCAGTTTATAACTGTCTATAACTCAAGTTCCAGGGGGATTGGACACCTTCACACCAATGCACATAAAATAAATTAAAAAAAAAGTCCAGGCTGGACATTATTTGACCCTTCTTGGAAAAAAAAGAAAAACCACAATTTTTTGAGAGAGAAAAGGGCTTAAAGTAGTAAACAGGTGGGATTATGAGTAACAATTATTTAACCCTGTTTTCCAAACATTCAGATGTCTTATTAGCTTCCTAATAATACTACAACTTCGTGTTTTGTTTAGTAATTTCCTTCAATAAACACAGTCAAACCCAGTAATCGGATGATAGCGGTCCGAAGCTAACGGTGAGTTTTGACTACGGTATTCACATCGCTCTGAGTAGTATCACTGTACTACTACGTTTAATAAGGTTTGTAAGTCTAGGGCTTAGAGTGTGCCAGAAACTATTCTGCGTGTGTTTTTATTGGCTTCTCAGTAATCCTGAGTCAGGTATTATTAGTATTATCCCAATTACAAAGACAAAAGGAAAGGAAATTCCACAATTAAATTATTCGAGGTCACACGCTAGAGACAAAACTCACTCTGCAGACCAGGCGTTGACCTCTGCTGGGTGCGGAGCTGACCACGCCCCAGTCTCCGGTAGCTGGGTGCTCTCGGCGGGAGGAAACCGCTCACCCCTCCCCCTCACCCCTCACCCCTCACCTGCCAGGACTCCTTCGGGCCTCCCAGTCCCTGACATGCCCAGCTGTGAAAAGTCCAGCTCACCTTCTCAGACCCCACAGGGGCTTCCGCTCAGTGCTTCTATTTTTCCCACCGGGTTTTCCACGCTTCCGGTGGAGGTCCATCTACTTTTCCGGTCCGGCGCCAAACTAGATATTTAGATTCAAGGTGTCAGATAGCCCTAGGGAGGGTTCTAAGGCTGGACGACCTGAGGCTTTTGGTCAACAAAGCTCCCCACACACACACCCGCGATGGGTTTTTGAAATTTCCTGACATTTGTAAGCGAGCATTTCGCTCTCCTCTGGCATCCCGCCCTCATAGGCAACCACCAATCCTCTGTCTTTCAAATAGGATATAGGCACGGCTAACGCCTCTTCACTCCTAAATGCCTGGCCCCTCGTGCCTCCTCTTCCCTGCAGTCCCTTGAGAACTGGCCACCCTGTGAATTCGGAAAGCCACTTCTGCTGGAACTGCCTTGAGAGATGCAATCCGTCCTGGTTTTCCTCATTGCGACCACCTAGTCCACACAACAGAGTTGTTGCACACCTTGTGTACACTTCTGTTAAAGTGTTATCCAATTTGGGGGTCACAACCTGTGTCTCAAGTCAGCTCCAGCCACCCGTCCTCAGTAAGGCAATTTAAAGAGCCAAAATAAAAAGAGAAAGGAAAACGGGCGCTGGTGGCTCATACTTTTAATTCCAGCACTCGGGAGGCAGAGGCAAGCAGATTTCTGAATTCGAGGCCATCCAGGTCTACAAAGCGAGTTCCAGGACAGCCTGGGCTACATAGAGAAACCCTATCTCGAAAACAACAACAGAAAGAAAGCAGGGGAGGGAAGAGAAAGGAAAAAAAGAAACGGAGCCTGCTGACATGGTAGCTCACACCTTTAATCCCAGCACTCAGGAAGCAGAGGTAGGCAGATCTCTGGTAGTTCTAGGCCAGCCTAATCTGCACAGCAAGTTCCAGGATAGCCAGCGTTACATAGAGAGACCCTGTCTCAAAAACAAACAAAAAAGTTAAACAACTAAATAAAATAAATGTGGAAAGCAGAAAATGAGATTTATTCAGTCTAGCTACATTGGAGAAAGGGACAGAGATGGAGCAGACCACCTAAGTCAGGCCTCAGGGTCATGGGGTGGAATCAAAGTTTGAATGGAAGATGAAGTAAATGTGTAGTTAAGCAACCAAACCCAGGTGTGATCCTGCTCACCATTGAGTCGTCCTGGTCTGGGCTCCAGTGTCCAGTCTAGTGTGGTCTAACAAGGTACTGGGTAATTGCCTCAGGTCTTGAGGAATTGAGTCAGGCTGTATGTGATAATAGCTCCTAGCCATAAAGAATGGCTTAGGCCCAGCCTGACATTCAGCTCCACCTGAAGAAATAGTACATCCAGGTATGGAAAGCAATCCAGCCTGCTCCTAGTCCACAATAAGTAGCAGTAACTTCCTGGTAACTAACCAGGTATGTGTGTATGCCTTTGTCCTAAGTATGCTCTACTTTCATCCCATGGAAAGATTGAGACCCCTCGCTGACCCAATAAAACAGTCTCAGCCTGTTAAAATCGAGTCTGTCTCTCTGCCTCCTTTTTCCTGCAAAAACTGTTTAAAAAAATCTGCTTTTCAGAGACAAGTTGCCCATTTGGCTGTTGTTTTGTTTTGTTATTGTTTTTGTTTTTATTTTGTTTTTTGTTTTTTTGTTTTCTCCTCGAGTGAGATTCCTGGGGAAACTCCCATTTCTTTGAGGTACTTTGTTTAAATAGTCTAATAGATCGAGAGACACAAAAGGTCTCTTTAGAGTATCTTTATTTTTACTAGGCTGGTTCCTGAACAAATGTAAGAGCAACATGTGTATTTGCAGTTGTTGTGCCAGGTTCTCGGAGCCCAGAGACTAACCCAAGGAGTAGACACTCTGATGCAAAAGTAAAAGGTTTCTTTTTATTTCAACCTGGCCAGCGAGGATCTCACTGCATGGCAGGCAAATGAGATGCCAAACAGCCAAAAGGAGAAGGTTTTCAAGGGGCAGACCATAAGGTTGAAGGCCACAAATTACAGAGTTTCCATGGTTACTTCAGGTCATACAAAGTACAGAGTAAATCAGTAGCTATACATTTTAAATGAGATACATTTGAGTGAGATAAGACAGGGCACAGGGTTGCAGGGTTACGGTCACAGGGTCTGTCAGTTATGCCCTGGCCTGGGGAACCTTTACAACCAGAAATTAGCAAAGGAATGCAAACAGGAGTGGTGGACAGTTACCTCCCTTTCTCTGAGAGCAGGGGATCAGGTGCCAGCCATGGCACTCCTGACTTAAGGAGTTAAATTTTCCTTTACCATTAGAAGTTCCCTTTTCAGGGCCTAAGTTTTTAAACTTTTATTAATTTTAATTTTTGTTCCTCAGCACCCTCAGGCAATGGAACTGTAGTCACTTAAGATTGTAGACCACCGTGAGTGCCATGAACCAAACCCTGAAGTGCTCCAAACCACTGAGTCATCTCTCCAGTCCTTTAGCTGCTTTTTACATCTATTTGGTGAAGCAGAAAACCTAGTTTGCACATTGTTTTGGATTTTTGAGAGAACAAGACGTCTGGTAAGTCTCTCCCTCACCCATGCACCTCAGGCTTTGCCTTCCTGTTCACCTTTGGAATATTTTGAGCCATTTGGGGTACTTTTTCATCACTTGGTGAAGTTGCAGTTGACTGGCTTTGTCTTTTGGGGGTTTTCTTGAACAATATCAGGGTGTTATTGATAAATAGAGAAACAGTGACTAAGAAAGTGGAGGAGAGAGCTCTCAAAGGCATTGAAATCCTGGCCTTAACTCAGTTAGGGACAGAAGAGATGAGACACCACTCTGCCAGTCCTTCAGTGGAAGGCTTCAAGGAGACATGGTTAAATATCCTATGTCTTGGGCTTGCTTTTTCCCTCACTGTGATGACCCAGCCCGGGGGACACTTATCAACACAGGAACCTGGGTGGGGGAGAGAAATAAAGTACAGGAGCCTGTGTATGAGGGTCCTTCCAGCTCTAGAAGGGAACATAGCTTATTGAAGACAGGTGGCCAGACCTGTTTCACAGGACAGGTTGTGACCCACAGTTTGATAACAAAAACACTAACAATATTGTATTTTAACTTTTTAGTATTGATTGGATGGGGGCATCATAGTGTGGGTTCTGAGGATTGAACTGCTAAGTATCTCTACCCCCTGGGCAGTCTTGATAGCCCTGGGCAATACTGAGGTATGCTTATCCCCATTGAGACCTAATTCTCAGAAGTTTCTCCTTCCTCTTGCCTGCTCTGCTTCATAAGAGTTCGCTGACCACTGAAGTCTTTTTAAAAAAGATGTATTTATTAGGTATACAGTGTTCTGCCTGCATTTATGCCCAAATACCAGAAAAGGGCACCAGATCTCATTATAGATGGTTGTGAGCAACCCTGTGGTTGCTGGGAATTGAACTCAGGACTTCTGGAAGAACAGACAGTGCTCTTAAACTCTGAGCCATCTCTCTAGCCCCCACTGAAGTCTTTATAGATTACACACTAATGTTAGCTAGAAACACACTTCTTAAGGATTGTCTAGTCCCAAGTCTCAAGGAAAGGTCATACCTGGAGCAGCCCTTGCCAGAAATGCTGACCACAACAAAATCCAGACATAAGTCACTTTTATCCACAAAGAAACATTGGTCATTTATATCTTCTTTAGGTCCTCAGATCTGCAACCTTCACCAACATATGTGAATGAGATAAGATATATAGAGCCCACACTCAAGAAGAAGCTGTTTATTGAAACACTAGATAACCATGCACAGGTATATTGAACTTAAGACAGGATAGAGAGATGGGAAATTTTGAAAACATGGCAAGGGAAAGGAGTCCTTCACCTGAGTCTGGCTGAAGCTTCTCCCCAGCTGAAAATCAGGAGTTCCAACATTATAAGCCCATTCATTCAAGGCACCTCCAAAGACACCCTTTAACCTCACCTACCAAAGAAAGGTGGGGAGATTTCATAGTGAGTTAGAACATGAAAACCATTGAAACAGTACACATACCCAACCCAAAGGCATTTGAGTGACATGCTTCTATAGGAAACTGGTACCCAAGCAGGGATATATCTTTTATTTTAGCAGTGTCTTAATATATAGCCCTGGCTGTCCTTGAACTCACTGAGATCCACCTGCCTCTGGCTCTTAAGTGAACTTGGATATGTCTTATTCTTTCCTGAGTACCTTTCTTTCTCTTAACCCTTGAAGTTATATTAAAATATTTTTAATAAAACTCCACTGGGCTAGACCTGAAATTTATTTTCCACTTTGAAGCCAAAGATTTGGATCTGGTTTAATCTGATTTGAGGTTGCTAAAAGATTAAGAGAACTCCTCAGACTGTAGCAGTGTGACAGCGTGGAGCTGACAGAGGTTCCTTTCACCACTAACATAACCCACGGGCCTTCCCTTGAAATTTTATATTAAAAAATGCTTCCTTATAGCAAAGAATAAGAACCTGCTGCCCTCCAAAATGCTAGCTTCTGTTGTTAATAATGATAATGGCCTCTTTGGGGCTGGGCATGTAGTGGGTAGATGCTTGCCTGACATGCATGAAGCCCAGGGTTGACTCCCTATTACTTATGGTGCACCATTGCCATCTCAACACTTGGAAAGTGAATATAGGAAGATTCATCCGAGTTCAACACCATCATGGGATACACAGTGAGTTCCAGGCCTTGTCACATAAAATGGAAACAAAAACAATAAATGTTATAGGAACTGGTCCTGGTGGCATAGACCTATATCCCTAGCTATTGGGAAAGCAACACTGCCCAAAGAAAAACAAAAACATACTTGGAACTAGAATTAGTGTTTGAGATGCTATTCATTGGGTGAATATTTGCCTAGCATGGATTCAATCTGTTCCTTGTAGTGCATGGGACATGGCAGCAGGAAAGTCAGTAGCACGTGACCAGTCTCAGCTATGTACTGAGTTTGAAGTCATTCTGGGTTACATAAAATACTTCCTGTCTTTAAAAAACAAAGCAAGAAGAAGTTGCTTAGGAACAGCTATTGGGAAGCCTAAACAAAAAGACCGCATGTTAAAGGTCTGCCTGGGCTACAGA